CTTGAGGCCATCTTTGGTGTCTTGGAGAGATCGTTCGGCGACGCGGGGCTCTTTTGGAAGTATGGAAGGTTTTGGGTTTTGGGTTGTCGCGTTGGAGGGGTCACAGCGTCCACAGGAGGCGAAGGAAACACCCCAGAACTCACTGGAGCCAGCCCGGAAAGACTTGGCACACGATTGGTCCGTGCCCTAAAAGACTCACGGCTCTCGTTTTGCAGCAGCAGCGCAGCGTCGACCTCTCGGTGCTGCAGGAGCTCGGGGCACTCCCCTTCGGGCCAGAGTCACGGTGGCGGACACTCGGGAGCAGCGCGGCTCGGCCTTGCGATGGGACATTCTACCCTTCTCGGGTTGTCCCCGTTTTGGCCCTCCTAGGAGTGCCCCGTCACCACCATTAGATTCCCCTAGAAAGTGTGACCAGAACACACCCCAGGAGAACCCGACGACAGCGTACACATAACAATTCGGCGATCCGCGAGAATTTCCTAGACTGGCGCTGGATTCCCCTAGCGGCGCCTCTGCACCATTGGCGCGCTCCGCGCGCCAGAGAGGGGGTTCCAGCGCCGATCCAAGAAATCCTCGCGGACCTCCGAGTTGTTATGTTCATGTCATCGTTTAGTTCTCTGTACTCGGGAGCAGCGAGGCTCGGCCCAGCGAAGGGAAAGTCTACTTTTGACTCGTTTTCCCCGTTTTGGGTCTCTTGGGACGCCCTCGTCGCCATCGCTGGATTCGCCTCGAAATTCTGATCAGAGAGTACCCTGGGAGAGGTCCAGGGAGTACCGGTATCGGTACCTTTTGGTTCCCCCACGTGAGCGACGCAGAAAAACGTATCCAGTTGCGCGGACATTCGCGCGTGGGCTTCCGCGTAAGGTCGCGCGTAAGCGCCCTCGTAACGCAGACACCAGCGACTACGCCAGCACCCGTGCCGCCGCCGCCGATGGCAGCTTCAACGCCGGCTCAGGGAAACGGCTACCATTCTTGCGTACGACGCGGCGATGATCATTAGCACGGCGACGATCTGCACAATGGTGTTCGTGCAGCTGACAAGTGAATGATGCTACTCCAGCGGCTGACGGTGACACTGTTTCGGCGCCAACGCCGTCGCCTACACCTGCACCGTTGCCAGCACCAATGCCGACGCCTACATCAGCACCGATGCAAACGCCGTCGCCAGCAGGGACGCCTGCGTCGGCGCCAGCAACAAAGCCAGCGCCGTGGTCATCACCGACGCCTGCTTCGGCACCGACGCCAGCGACTATACCAGCAACGTGGACATCACCGACGTCAGCGTCATCGCCGACGCCAGCGATTGCATTAGCTCCAACGCCAGTGTCGAGACGCCAGCTCGACAACCGACGCCTGCGTCGGCACGAAGGCCAGCGCCTACACCAGCACCGATGCCATCACCAACGCCAGCGCCGACGCCTACGCCAGCACCGACGCCTGCATTGACGCCGGCGTGGATGCCTGCATCGAGCTAGCACTAATGCCAGCGCTTACACACGTGCCAAAGCCTGCACTGACGCCAGCAGGAACGCCCAAGCCTGCGCTGGCACCAGCGCCAACGGCTACAGCAGCACCGCTGTCATCACCGACTCCAGCATGAACGCTGACGCCTACACCAGCCCCGACGCCAGCATGCGAGCGAGCGATTGCAGTGGCACCAACGCCAGCGTCTACACCTGCGACGGCGCCAACACTGACGCCAACGCGAATATCGGCATCTGCGCCAGCAGTAGCACCAGCGCTCACACCAGCACCGAGGTCATCACCAGCATCAGCACCTACGCTGGCGCAGCACCAGAACCAGCACCGACGCCAGCATCAACGCCAGCGACTACGCCGGTGTCCTTCGTCGTCACTGACCTCGGGTGAGGTTGCAGAGGTTTTTGCCTCCCCTGCCGCCTCTGGTTAGCCTGGCTAGCTGCAGCGCGCCGCCTCGTGTCCTCGAGTCCTCCTCCCCGCAGGCTTGTGTTGTGTTTAGTCGTCCGATGTGCGCGTGCATGTTGCGGGCGTGCCCGCCAGACGGGCTCCTGTTACTCAGCGAGCTTCCAGCGTCCGCCGGCAGGCGCTGCCTTAGAAGTCTACTTTTCAGTATTTGGATATTTATATGTCCTCCTTGTTTTCGTTCTCGCTCGCTTCTTTTCGCTCTCGTTCGTTTCGTTGGCTTCTTTCCTTCTCTTCCCCTCTGGCTTGCCGCTGTGCATTTTGTTTTGCATCCTCTTGGCGGCCGTTTGGGCTGCGCGGGGACATTCGCACTGCGCCGTCGCCCCTCTTCTTACCGTTCTTCTTCCCTCCTCCCCCCTCCCGCGTTTTGTGCGACACGCCGGCGTCCACCCAGCAATGCCTTTGTCAACCTAGCTGTTTTGGCGTTGACCTTGTCGGGTAATCCACAGGTGCCGCCTCAGCCGTTCTGTGCGGATTGTGTTGGCGCCGTGCGAGGCCCTGATACCAGACTCTCTTGGCAGCCAGAGTGTGGATCACTTCAGGCATTCAACTTGTTCCAGCCATTCGCTACTCGTTATATAATAATAATAATAATAATAATAGTAATAATAATAACAATAATAATCATAATAATAATAATAACTGGCGTGCCGCTCTGGCGGCCCGCGTAGGCCGCGGCGTAAAGCCGCTGAGTCTTATCGCGTAAGTCCAATTTCTGTTCGTCGCTCACATGCTTCTCGATTCAGAGTAGCAAGAGGTCCTGATAATGATGCGTTCGTTCCAAGATCCCCCGTATTTCTCACTTGTCCCAACGTTCCAGACGAATTTCAGAAACTACGGCAGAAAGGAAGGCCGCTGGCGGATTCGCTGGGAAGCATCTTGGCCCGATCCCATCATGTCATCATCCTCGGCCAAGCGATGGTGGATCGAACGCAGCTGCTCATTCGTGTTAAGTCGGGCCTGTTCCTCTACAGGGGGGATCTTCAAAAATAATCAAAAATAGTCCGGGGACTATGTTTTGAGTATCTTTGAGCATCTTTTGAGCATTTTCGCGTTTTGTTCTGTTTCGTCCACAGGCCCGACCGAACATTAATTAGTGAGGTATGGTTCGGCGTGGGAACTTGCGCGGACAGCCGGTTTCAGAGGGGGGTACGGTGTGAAGCATAATGACAACCTGCGGCGAGCGAGGCGCGGGGAGTGATAAGGAGAAGGCCTTCTCAGAAGGCGACGGGACTTGTCAGAAGCCTGCGGGCGAGGCGACGGGACTTCTCGTTGAATCAGCGGCGAGTGATGGGGGGAAAGTGAAAAGGAGAAGGCCTCCTCAGGAAACGACGGGGCTTCTCAGAAACCCCCGCGCCTTCGGTGCTCTGTGTTTTCGGGGAAAGCACAGGGAACTTCTCAGAAGGCCGGGGGCTTCCGAGCCTTTTGGGGAGGCCCACCCGTTCTCACTCCCCCCCTTTCGACCAGCGCTTGGACAAGGGACGGAGTAGGCACAGAGACGCGAGTCAAGCTGCGCACGTTGTTCGTCACCACGCCAGGTTTATGGGGCAGCTCCCGCCTTCTTCCGTCGCGTCAGGAGCAGCGTCGTGTCGAGTTCGCAACGATTTTGCTGTTCCCACTCCCCCTCTGCCAGGGAGTGCGGTCGAACGACCGCGTGGCGGTCACTGCCAATATGTTGTTTTATGTCGGAGTTCTTCGTATCGCGCGGGATCTCAAACACGCCGAGCACGACATCCACGGCCGATAGAGGCAGCCTGCCAAGATGATGTGCTGCGGTCGACATGGCGCGTCTGCCTAGCAAGGGGCACCCCGTGTTCAGGCAACGACAGCATGTCTCCTCGCGCGCGATGTACGCCGCGTCCAACTGCTGCCACATGTTTTGCAGTACCCGCTGGCAGAGCTGTATGTTGACAGAAACACGCTGATGGTGTGCAGCCTGTTTGTTTGCAACGTGAGACGGCCCATGTTGTGTGTCAATCGGGTGGCGAAACGATTGGAATGTATCTTATAACGGGGATTCGGGCCCTCGGGCCCCGGGGCGCCCCCCCCATCTTTGGCCCGTTTCTTGTCCCAGGGGTCGGCCGCCCCTTTCCGGGGCGCTTCGGGCCGGGCCCGCTGTTCGGGGGCTGTAAATCGGACGATCAGAGCCGCCCTGGCGGCAAGACGGCCTGCAGGTGTTTCAGACGGACCAACATGCTTTCCAAGCGGACCAAGAGGCCCCCAAGACGGTCCAAGAAGTCTCCAATAGGACCCCGACGAGAGCCTCAAGAGGCCAATATGATATATTCATGTTAAGTCGGGTCTGTCCCTCTACAGGAGGAATATCCAAAAATAGTCAAACATAGTATGAGGACAATTTTCTGTATTTGTTTGACTATTGTTGACTAGTTGTTTTTCAGTATTTGCTTGACTATTTGTTGACTGAGGTTTTGCGATTCTTCGTCAAAAAACCCTGTTGGGGGACATGCCCGACTTAATACTTATGCTGGCTCTCTTACTTCTTCGGGTTTCCGACGCTCCTAGACGGCTCAAGACGCGCCCAAGACCGCCTCGAAACGGCCCAAGAGGGGACCAAGAAAGCCCCAAGACGGCGTCAGAGATCTCTCGGGAACCCCAAGATGATTCGAGAGGAGAGGCCCCCCAAGACGGCTCAAGAAGGGCCCCAGACTGGCCCAAGAGGGGGAACACGAGAACTCACAATTGCAGCCTTCCGCCCCCACAGGCCCACAGAGGCCCCGAAAGGCGCCTCGAGGTGCCCAAGAGGCCCCCCAGGAGGCCCCAAGAAGCCCCAAGCCGACCCCCAAGAGGCTCCACGGCCGCCCTCGACGAGGTTCCCGAGAAGCTTCCCACGAGGAGCCAACGAACACCCAGCAGGCCTCTGACACAGACCTGGCACAGCGGCGGGATGGTCCGAATGCCACCAGATGTGCATGTATATGTGTATACTCTTACAAACATGCATACATAGATACATACATGCATGCATGCATACATACATACATGCATACATATGTACTTACTTACTTACTTACTTAATTACTTACTTACTTACTTAATCACTCACTGACTTACATAAATCCATACATACATACATCCATACATACGTACATGCATCCATAGTTAACCAGAGACACGCACACATTATGTGTGCAAACACGTCTGTACCCGACCACCAGGACACCAGGCAATGCGGAGCCAGATTCGGGCACACTAGTTCTCTTTTCTTTCAGCCCCAGACGACTCGTCGCAGAAGCCCCCAAAGACATTTTACACACTTGTCGGGTTACCACATCAAATGGCGGCAGGTCCCACGACCAACCTTACGGGAACTCCCGAGTCAACTTGGCAGCACCCAGCGCGGTTTGCACCTAAGCACGCGCGAAGCGCGCGCGCGTGCGTGGTTCTCGATGTAGTCTTGAACAGTGAATGGTGGAGTGGCAGAGGAGTAAATGATTGGGGGTGGGAGCGGGGGGGGGGCAGCAGAGGGCGCATGAACTCGGAGCCGCAATAGTCACATCAGGGCGTCTACGCCGCGTGCGTTAGGAAATGAATCGAGGATCTTCCCCTTCCTTCTGTCCCTCCACCGTTTCCAGCGGGCGCCCCCTTGCAGTTTCCCTTGCCGCTTTCGAGACCCGCTTGCAAGGGCGGCACCGACGCGTGGCAGTACATGCACGCGCAGTATCGGTTCGACCTCTTCCGCCAGAGCATGCGCAGGGATGGGAAGGGCGAGGCCTCATCCACCGCCGCCGACGCCTTTGCCCACTCGTGTTTGTATGCGTGAGTGTATGAATGAGAATGTGAATGTGTGAATGTGAGTGTGGGTGTGTGTGTGTGTGTGTTTGTGTGTGTGTGTGCTCGTTCGCTGCCCGCCCAAAGCGGAAGCACCGTGTTCTCGCACCGCCCCATACCAGGCTGCAAGCCACGGCAAGCAATGCCGGCTGCAGTGGATGAGGGGGAGTCACGTGGGTGGAGCATGGCCCATTATGCAGCCACCCGACGCCAAACTACACACCCCGCGCGCTGCTCTTGTCGCACCCATCCGCCTGGACCGGCCCCTTCCCGGCAGTGGGCACACCGACATTCACACGACTTGCGAGCAACACGCGCCACCATGGTGGTTGCCGCTGTCGGTTTTGGTGGGTGGACCAGCCCGTTCCGGGTGGCGTAATGGGGCGGCACCTGCATCGCGCGACTCCGCACAAGGCTCACGATAGCCTGTGGGAACGCGAGTGGGTGAAAGAGCGTGGTTGCGCCACACGTGTGCGCGTGTGTAAAAGAGGAGGAGGAGAGAGGGGCCACGAAGAGATTCATTCTGCCGGCCACGGCCATGTCATCACACCTGAAAGGGAGGGAGGGGGAGGGAGGGGAGGAAGGGGGAGGGAGGAGAGGAGGGGGACAGGCCAGAAGAAGGGAACGGGGCGATGAGGCAGAAGGCCAGGCAGGGGGCGGAGGAAAGGGAAGGGGGGGGGATGGAAAGGACGACAGGAACGACCCATCGGGGGCCGGGGCCAGCGCTCCAGGCATCGGGAGCCGGTGGTTCCGGATGCCACACCGCTACACATCACAACGCAGCTTAGCGCCGCACGGCCGCGTGTGTGCGTGCGTGTGGCAGCACATCACAGCACAACGCAGCACATCACGACACAGCACAACATCGCACATCGCAGCACATCACAGCACACGCCGTTCTGGCGTGTGTGTATAGTCTGTGTACAATGCGTGTAGTGTGTGTATATTGTGTAGTGTGTGTAGGGTGTGTGTGTGTGTGTGTGTGCTTGTGCATGTGTGCGTGCGAATGTGAATGTGAATATGAATATGAATATGAATGTGAATGTGAATGTGAATGCGAATGTGAATGTGAATGTGTGAATGTGTGAATGTGTGAATGTGTGTGGACGACCCGACGGCCACGGGAAAATGACGGCCACCGGGGCTCCAAAGGGGCGTGGCCCCAGAGGGCCTTTCAAGATGTCGAAGGTGGCCTACAATTCAGTCAACGTTGCCCCAAGATGCCCCCAAGACGGCCCAGAATTGCTTCGAGACGGCCAAAGGCGCCCCAAGACGGCTCCAAGAGGACTACCGTAGCCATTTTGGCTCAAGCAATTTGGGCACGAGCCAACCAGGACGAATCAGTTTGGGCCCAAGTTGCTGTGGACCCTGGGTGAGATGGTGAACCGATGCGCAAAACAAGCTGGATGGAGTCTGCAGGAGATTGTGATAACTTGCAGCTTGGTTTCATGATTTGTTCTTTTTGCACGATGCATCACGTGCGAGACGGCAAGGACACCAGGCATATTCATGCAAAGTAGTCTCTATGGTGATCCAAAACTGCATGAGCCCTCGACAGAACATTCTTCGGGTTCGGTCGCATCGGTTGCCTCTGCTGCATCTGTTGCCAGCAACGATCGCAATGGTTCTTTAGGTGGTCACATGGAACAGCATGTTCCCAGCAATTCTGGATTGCACCAGCCCTCGCCCGAACGATCCTCGAATCCGGTTGCCGCTGATGCCTCTGCAGCATCTGTTTCCAGCAACGGTAGCAATGATTACGCAGTAAGTCACACGGAGCATAATGTTCCAAGCAACAGTGCATTGCATGTCTCTTCGCCGGCACATTATTTGAATTCGGTGGTGACTGCTGCCTCTGTTGAGCGTGGTTCCAGCCATGGTCGCAGCGATTCCTCGGTCGGTCGCAGTGAATCGTGGTGGTGCTGGAAAGCCAACGAGACATGTGACAATATGAGGGCGTATGTCCGTCTGAACGGCTTGACTCACATTTTCGTTGGAGTTTCCGCTAAAACTGGGGGGTCTTCAGTCAAGTATTTCTTCTTTGGGGACCAGCCGACTGACAATCTTGCTCGTTCAGTGTTGGGTGCGCAGTGTCAGTGGGCCGTTACAGGCTCTCACATGTGGGGTGGCCTGGGCGGCCTTCTGGAGAGACCCTGCGCGCGGAAGACTCTTTTCTTGTTGCCCGTGCGTGAGGAAATGTCATGGTTCAGGTCTGCGCTCAAGCAAGTGTGTTGGCACGACGGCTTGGAGGCAGGCGAACGAAGTTGTAAAAACAAGTTGTGCCCCCAAACATGCGGGAATCATCCGTGGCTGGCAATGGCCCTCCAAGAGCGCTTGGTTGAATTGCGTTTTGGCCCTCACAATTGGATATAAGAGTGGATGATTCGCAGTCCAGAGTTTCACACCTTGCTGGATTACCGCTCAACCGATAATGTGCTAGCTTGCCTTCCACCGAGGGGCTTGAAGATAGACAACTCGTCCGACCTTGCGCGTCATGTTTACAAACGGGGCAACGTGAACGTACGTGTAAACAATGATTTCAGGCCACCAATCAACATTTCGGACGATGCAATCCGTGCCGGGTACAACACGAGACAACACACACCTTATTGGTTGCAGCCTTACGCCAAGGCCATCAAGGAGTCGGATTGCGAGGTTGCTTCTGCATTAGGGCTCCAGGTCGCTGAACACCGGCAGCGGTGAGCTGGACATGCCCTCGCACGAGCACTCATCGGATTCGTTTGGCTTTGATGCCTCTGTTGCTGTTGTTTGCAGATATGGTCGCAATGACTCCTCAGCTGGTCACATGGAGCAGCATGCTTCCAGCAGCGCTGGATTGCACCAGCCCTCGCCCGAACGCTCTGCGGATTCGGTCGCCGCCTGTGCCTCTGCTTCATGTGATTCCAGCACTGACCGCAATGATTATTCGGTGGACGTCGCACCAGCGATCCCTTCGGGGCGTCGCAGGCGCTCTGGGCGACCTGGTCGACGCCGTGTTGCGGCCGGGTTGTTCCAGTCTTGGAGGTCTTTGGGGCAGTTTTGCGGCCTGGAGGGGTAGCGAAACAGCTGACGTGGGTGTGCCCCCAGGGTGTCGGGGCATGTCTGATTGCACGCGATATATTGAGCCGAGACGCCCCAGGAAACGCAACATATTCCGCAGCTGGCCGCACGGAGCAGCACGTCTCAAGCAGCCATGCATTCCACGTGCCCTCGCCGGAACGCTCTTCAGATTCCGTGGCCGCTGCTGTTTTATCCTCAACATGTTTTCAGCAGCGCTAGCAAGTATCATTCAGTTGGTCGCGGTGGTTCGCGATATTGCTTGAAGGTCAACGGGTTGTGACCGAATGAGGGACTACATCCGTCTGAGCGGCCTGACTCACACGTTTGTGGAGGTTTCCGTTGAAGTCCAGTATTCTTTTTGGGGGACCAGCTGACGACGACCTTCCCGTGGGAGACTCTCATGTGTTGTGGCCTGGGTGCCCTCCTGAATGGTACTTACACGCAGAAGACGCTTTTCTTACTGCAAGTGCGAGAGTCCATTTCATGGATGAGTTCTACCGCTCAAGAAAGGGTGTTGGCGTGCTGGTTGCCAGGCGGGCAAACGAACATGTGAGGAGGAGGCATGACGCCAAACATGCGGGAATCCTTCGTGCCTGGCAATGGCTTTTCGGCAGCGCGTGTTGGAATTGCCTTCAGGCCCACCCAATCTGATATAGAAGTTGACGGTGCGCAGTCCAGAGTTTCGCATATTCCTGTTGAATCGATGTACAAGCGACAACGCGCAAGCTTGCTTTCCGCTGACAGGTTTGAAGATCGAGAACTCGTCCGAACTTGCGCGTCACGTCTACAAAAAAAAGACGGCTCCAAGAGGACTTCCTGGAGGCTTTACGAAGGCTCAGCTCATGCACTGTCAGAATGTCTTGAATGTTTCGTGTTCTCTCCTTGTCTGGCCCCAAAGCCCACGACAGCCCAAGAGGCCCCCAATATCGCCCCCAGGCGGCCAGGGGGAACCACCCGAGAAAATCCCAAGGCGACCCCAGAGAGCACCAAGAGGTCTCCAAGGCGATCTTGCCAGATGGCCCGAGAGTGCCAGAAGACGGCCCAGGAGAGCCCCAAGGTCGTCCACGAGCAAGGGCGCCCTCGAGGGCGCGAATTATTCGCGCTTCGCGGTTCGGCTCCGATTTCTCCTCATCCTCCTCTTCTCCCTTGGGAGGCGGCGCGAGAGCGCCAAATTATTCGCACTTCGCGCAGCGCGAAGCGCGAAGTTGGGAGCCCTTGACGAGAGCTCCAAGAGGCCCCCAACACGGCCCAGATGGCTTGGAAGGAGCTTCAGATGACCCCCCCCAGAGTTCCTCCAGTGGTTTCCCCAGGCGCTGGAGGAGCACACAGTCCACTAGTATTATGTCGGGCGCCTCCCTCTACAGGGAACATTCAAACATAGTAAAAAACATAGTCTGGGGACGTTTTTTTATATGTTTGACTATTGTTGAATATTGTTTGACCATTTTTTCGGTGTCGTTGAACATCTGCCTGTAGGAGGACACGCCCGACCTAACACTAGCATGGCCGCACCTTCGCTCGATTTGTCACGAAACATGCGTTCCCAAAAGAAGGCGGACGGCGGCGCTGATTCACTGTAGGTCTCTTCGACATGTGTTGCCCCGCATGCCGCATACTGCGACCAGCTCCCCAAACACCCCAAAGAAGTGCCAATAGTATGGTGAGTGTTTTTTAATTCATTGTTTTGCCGATCGGCTGGCTGTTTTGGGCGCCTGTTTCGAGTAGGTGGAGCCTCCCTTCGTAGGACCGACCCACTGCTGCAAACAGTCGCACTGAGCAGAGGTCTGGAGCCAGACCCCCCCTCCCCCCCCTTCCTCCCAATGCCGAAACGCCGAGTACAAAAAAACGCTCACTGGAGTATCTTCACTTCCAGGTGGTTCAGACTGCCACCAGCGCATTCTACCACTCCCAGGTATCGGCGGCGAGCGAGGGGGGGAATTGAGAAGGAGGAGGCCTTCTCAGAAGGCGGCGGGACTTCTCAGAAGCCCTCGCGCCTTCTGAGAAGTTTTTGTCTGTCTTCGGGGAAGGCTTAGAAAACTTCTCAGAAGTCCGGGGGACTCCTTAGCCTTCTGAGAAGGTACGCCCCTTCTCACTTACCCCCCTGGCTCGCCGCCTAAGGTACAGCGGCCGCCCGGTCCTGCCATGTCACGGCGCATGGTGCGCACGGGGCGGGTCGGACCAGGGACTCTGGGCTTCTTGGGTCCTGGCGGCCGCGGCCTGCGGTGATCGGGTCGGATCGGACCGCCTTTGATTTACAAAAAGTGTAGCAGCCCCAACCTGTCGGGTGGGGAAGGCGTCGGAAGACGAATGTGTTTGGTTGATGTTTTGCCCCCGGGGAGTGGTTGGAGACCTGCTTGGGCGTCTCTCGGAAGGGACGTCTGCTCGCCACGAGAGGGCCAACACGCGCGCCACTTCAAATGGGATGGCTTGGACGGAAGCCCCTCACTCCGACCGGGGGGGCACAGAGGTTGCCTGGGGGGGTAATTTCGGGGAAACGAAAGGTTCGAGTTCGCAGGGATTCGGGTTCGCCAACGCTTTTTGTCGGGCCCGTCTTGAATTTTGACGGTCTAGAGTTCGTGGGATGTTTCTAGCGGGAGTTCGCGTCGAATGTCAGACTGGGTCTCGTCATTTCCCCGAAGGCCCCGTCACGCCAACCCGATTGTCCCGAACCCGAGTTTTACGCTTGGTTCTTACGTCTCCCCCAGTAACGGTGCCCTCGCGGAACCGTAGTTGTCGGAGACCTCACGGAGCGCCTCTTGGACAACGTTTGCTCGAATCGCATGAGCCAAAGCGCGCGCGATTTGAAATGGACTGGCGTGAGCGGAGACACTCACCCCGACCAGGGAAGCATGGAGGTTGCCAGGGGAGAATGGTGCTCTCGTGGACTTGGTGATCGTCCCGACGTGTGTCGGCCCAGTGTGGGCTTGCCCCGTGCGGCCCGTGGCGGCCATCGTGTCACCGCTTGCGCCGTGCTGCAGGGCGTCGGTGGGCAAGCACACGTTGCCGCCAACACACGTTCTCGGGATCGTCGATAGAATCACATGTGGCAAGACTCGTGCCCACCGGGAGGCAGTGGCGTGGACGCGGCAGGCTCGAGGGAACGGCGGCTCCCGCAGGGCGTCTGCTCGCCACGAACAGGCGAACTTGTGCGCGACTTCAAACGGATTGGCGTGGGCGGCAACTCTGCACTGCGATCAGGGGGGCACGGAGGCTGCCAGAGCATCGCGGTGCTCTCGGGGAACCACATATGTTAGATAGCAAGTCACGGTTGCTTCTGTTCGTCGTGCATCTCGAGTAAGTATCAGCGAGTAGCGTCCAGCCGCGCCCAGCAGCGCTCAATGGTGCCGAAGAACGCCCGAACGGCTCCCCATGGCGCCCAGTGACGCCATGTGAGGGAGATGCATCACGTCCGTTTCCCGCGGCATTGGGCGCGCTGTTGGGGGCCACGGGGATTACCAAAAACTTCGGTAAATCACATTGCAGCACTTGGCAACGTCCATCATGCGCACCACTAGGCATTGGCGTGGGCGCAGTGGGTTCCCCCAAGAGGTCTCCAAGACGGCCCAAGAGGCCTCCAAGAGGTCCTCCAGGAAGGCCCGAAGAGGCCAACGACATTGATTTTCCGTATGTTTTTACATGATTTGGGCATTGGTTTCTGTTCGGCCTTCCGACGGCCCGAGACGGCCTAACAGCCCCCAAAGGTCGCCCCAAGATCGCCCAAGAGGAGGCCTCCAAGAGGGCCCCAGAACGCGAAGGAGCGGCGGCTTCCGCAGAGGGGAAAAAAGGCCCAGCGAGAGCGTCTGGCAGCAGGACGGTCCGCGAGGTGCTGCGGCTCCCTGGCGCCGCGTTGCAGCACGGCGCCCGCAGCAGCGTGGGCACGAGGCGTTCTCGACTTCGACGTCGAGAGGGGGGCAAGACCCGCATGCGAGGGGCTCCCCTCGCGCAGGGGGGACCACCTTCGCCTGAGATGCGGGGCCTTCCGGCTCCGGGAGGCGCGCCTGCGCCTCCGCCCACGAGGGAGGCTCATTCGCTGATCAGCCCCCCTCCCCCTCCTCCCCCCCCCTCCCTCTCCTCCCCCTCCTCCTCCTCCTCCTCCTCCTCCTCCTCCTCCTCCTCCTCCTCCTCCTCCCCCCTCCTCCTCCTCCTCCTCCCTCCTCCTCCTCCTCCTCCTCCTCCTCCTCCTCTCCTCCTCCTCCTCCTCCTCCTCCTCCTCCTCCTCCTCCTCCTCCTCCTCCTCCTCCTCCTCCTCCTCCTCCTCCTCCTCCCCCTTCCTCCTCCCCCTCCTCCTCCTCCTCCTCCCCCTCCTCCTCCTCCTCCTCCTCCTCCTCTCTCCTCCTCCTCCTCCTCCTCCTCCTCCTCCTCCTCCTCCTCCTCCTCCTCCTCCTCCCCTCCTCCTCCTCCTCCTCCCCCTCCCCCTCCTCCTCCTCCTCCCCCTCCTCCTCCTCCTCCTCCTCCTCCTCTTCGTCCGTCCTCCTGCTCCTCCTCCCTCCTCATCCTCTTCCTCCTCCTCCTCCTCCTCCTCCTCCTCCTCCTCCTCCTCCTCCTCCTCCTCCTCCTCCTCCCCCTCCTCCCCCGCCCAGCCCGCACCCGCGCAGCCCCCCTCCGCGCCGCGAAGGCCTGGCTGTCCTTCGAGAGCGGTCTCCCCTTCATCACCCTGAAGGGCTCCGCACAGTCCCCGCGGTTCGGCAACGGGTCCATCGCGATCTCCTTGGACACGGAGAAGCAGGCGCCCGCTGTGTTCCACGACTCGCTGAGCGCGTTCCACTGCTCGCAGAGTGCCTGCTCGCAAACGTCCGAAAAACACCCGTCTACCTCGACGTGATGTGTCGTAGATCCCCCGCGGCGGATCCAGGCCAGTTGCGAGTAGTCACTTTGCGAGTAGTGGAACGCGCTCGTCTGGTCGAGAGCCTCGAGACGGGGGTCAATGCAAACGAGGGTCAGCCAGAGCGCCCGATCTTTCAGGTTCCTGCAGGGCCAGGGTCGCACTGACCCGGGCCTGGGCGCAGGAGCCTGCGGGATCTGGCAGGATTCTTCGCATTGACCCGGGTTTGGGTGCAGGACCTTGCAGGATTCTGCAAGGCTTGACTGGCCCGGGTCCGGATTGACCCGGGTCAGCAGATCCCCGATGTGTCTGATGAAACGTGTTTTTGCCTCCCTCACGGCCTTTTCTCCTTGGGGGCCCCGCGGGTTTCCAAGGCGGCCGCGCGACGGGCGCCGCGGGGCGCCGCGCGCGAGGCTGGGTGATCGAGAGTCGTTCCCAGAGATCCGGGACTCCAAAAGAGTTGAAGCGGCCAGTGTTCTGCTACTTTCGGCCTCCAGGGGCCTCAACGGGCCCCAGGACTGTCAGGAAACGGTTCGGGATGAAAGAGACCTAGGGCAGTTGTCAAGACCTCCGGGGGTACCCGCACCGGAACACGTGGAGCGCCAGATGTCCTGGCTCCTTATTCTTCATCCGTTCCGCATGGAGCCGAATTTCCCCCATCTCGCTCCCCCGTCGGATCTTCAACATAGCCTTCCTGCTACGGCTTGCTTCACGCTCCTTTTCTGCTTGATCCCCCTCACAGCGCGCTAATGATGCACGCCCAGAGCATAGTCCAGAAAATACGTCCAATTCACAGCGTACACATGCATTCAGTGCAGAGGCAGTGTTCGCGGCAGGTTCTGCCGCTGCTCAGTGATACGAGCCCTGTTCGGTGGAGAAATAATTGCAAAGCACATCACACCTGAACAGCATGTGGACGTGCAAGACCTCTTCATGCTGCACATGGGGCTTTGCCTTTGCCAAGTGGTACGCGGCCACAAGAACAGTGGTCGACTGGCATACGCACGCACGTAGAGCAGGTACTGGCCAGTGCCACTGGAGCAGGCCAGGGTCGGAACAGCGAGACCACCATCACGGCGTGAGTTTGAGCATACAGTGGGGGCCCATGCCAAGAAACACATTGCTGGCCTCCACTGTCCCCTGTGTTTCTGGGGGTTCTTTGGTTTTGCGATGGAAAGCGTGACGTCCCCACGCCAAAAATCAATGGACGTCCTGGGGGTTCAGGGTTAGGTTTCTTGTGGAAGGTTTCTCGTGGTCGAGCCCCTACTGTAGTTCTTTGCATCTTGAGCGTTCTTGCTAGCACCCTGCCCCGTCTAGGCTGAAAACCTAGTTGAACGTGCGCGCCCAGATCACACTCCGCTGTGGCCCCTTTTTGGGGTACTCCTTCGGGCATTCACTGTATAGCTGAAGACACGGACGACCCAGATAACATCAAATTATGTGTTCAAGGGCGACGTGTGGGAGTCCGTGAGTATGCCCCGAAGTCATCCCGACGTTGGCCTCCAGTGCGAAATGTGTTTCACCATGGGCTTGACATCCATGGTGACTTCCTCAACCCCGTCGCGGTCACCAGCACATGGAAAGTGTTTCTCAGGTGCACCATTGTATTCAGGGCAATGATACCGTGTGCCATCATTGTTTGCATGATGTTCAGTTGTGTTGGCAGTTGCAGTTTGTGCAGGTCGTGTCCTCTTGCGGGCCCGTGCGACCATTGCAGTATGCAGCATGTTCTTGTTGCCCGTGGCTGTTGATTCCGATTATGTGTATTGTTATTGTTTCTTCCCACCTTCATTATCAGTCTTCTCCGTGTTTGCATATTCGTCCTCCTCTTCTTTCGAAGCCACGTCGACGAATCAGCATGGGGCCCGAAGTGCCCGAAAGGTGATGTACACCAGGACGACGTTGGAGAATCTTCACGAAGCCGAGTGCGTGAAGTATTTGTTCCCGAAGCCCGATTGGGAGGACGAGGGTGGCAGCGGAGGAAAGGAGATACAGTAACGGTGACGATGACGACTTTGGCTTTCGTGGTTGTGACGACGAAGATGACGATCACGACGAAGCTGGTGGCGTTGAGGATCACGTTTGAATTGGCTCTGCCCGGCGTAGTTTGAACATATATTGCCGAGGATGTTCAGTTCGTTCTGGATGTTGAAAGCAGAGACCGACGACGATGACATAGAAGAAGACGACGGCAACGTCATTCTCTTCCAAGACCTTCAGAAAAGGTTATCCTCAGAGTAGCCAGTACCATCACCCCGACTGCGTTTGAACATCGTATTTTCATCGTCACCACTAATATTCGTCTTCGCAGTTTGCTGCGCCTTTGTGTAGTTCGGTCCTGGGTGACGTTGAGTATTGGTGGGCCAGCAGTGCACGAACTTTGAAGGCAACCTAGAATATCTCCACCTCATTTGATTTGTGTCCGCTCCTTCCTGGGGAAGTGGTCCGCGTACCACTACCGCAGTGATTATGGTGGGTCAGTGATCCTTTTCTAGTTTGGGGAAGGCGCATCCTTCGGAGCCCTCTGGAAGTCGCGCCTGTTTGGATGAAGTCGTGGGAGGACAGAAGCAAGAAACCGAGCAGTACCACCAGCAGCATGCGGGCAAACACCTGACCTTGCTTCTGGACCGTCCAGGGAAAAAACATGTATGATCGAAACGCTTGCCACATCTCTGCGCTGTGACATTGCACTGCCCATCTACGACCGCGAGCAGCGCAATGTGGAAGAAGAGGGGAAGCAGAGGGGGAGGACAAGGCGAGGAGCAGGATAAATAGGAGGAAGATTGTTCAGAGGCCTGAGGAGGAGCATGAAGGGGGAAGGGGAGATCAGGAGAAGAGAAACAGTCGATTCAGCAAGAGCGCCCTCTCTGTACGCTTGGAGGGGTGAGGGGATACGAAACCCCTCCCCCCCACAGGTCTTGTGCGAGGGGTCGAACCCCCCCCCCGCCCCCTCCCCCGCCCCCCATCGAAGGTGAGGGTCGGGGGTTCGGCTCCCGACTCCCCCCCCGCCGGTTCCACGAGAAGGCGGCCACGGCCGCCGGGACGCTTCCAGTCGGGCCGACATCACATGTCACAGCAGTTGTCCCATAAGCGACCCGCCCGCCCGTTGTCTCCCTGACTGGACGCCCGCCCGATTGGACGTCCCGTTCGTTGTCGTCGTCTCCGCCGCCTTCGTCGGTGGTTGTTGCACGTGTACCTTTAGCCTTGTCCCGTCAACGGGTGAGGGTTCCAGTTGATTTCCCGCCCAGCCGACTGAACGTTTCGCCCGTAGTCGTCGCCGTCGCTGTCGGCGCATGTGGTGCATGTGCCCTATCATGTTCATGTATCGAATCGATTTGCCCATTCCGCCAGCCCAGATTATCATATTGCACCATTGTTGCTATGTGCGCATAACGGGCGGGAAGTGTGGTAGGATACTCGAAAGGGGAGGATCAGGAAGAGGAGGCCTCTGCACGGCTTCTTGGGGCACTGTTGGGACCAAACTGGGTCGCGGACAAAACGCCTCTTTGGAAGGCTCCTTGGGGTCTATTGGGAGGCCTTTCGGGGGCCTCGTGGCGGCATTTATGGTACCTCCTGGGACCTCTTGGGGGCCCCGTGGGGCATCCTGTTGGGCTTCGGGGGCCTCTTGAGGGCTTATTGAGGGCTTGCTGGCGGTTTCGGGGGCCAACTTTCGAGAACGGCTCGATATGTCTGTTTGGGTTCCCCCTCTTGGGGACCTCATGGCAGCCTCTGGAACCCTCTGGGGAGGCCTCTTAGGCCGTCCTGGGAGCCTCTTGGGCTGAATTGGGGCGAGCTTGGAGGCCTCTTGGGCCGGAAGATTGAAAAGGCGGAAATTCCAAGATGCTTCACCAAAAAACAAGCAACCAGAATGCTCGTTGCCTCTTCAGACCCTTTTGGGGTCCTCTCGGAGCCCTTCTCGGGTGTCTTTGGCGCCTCTTGGGCCGTCTTGAGACTACCTTGGGCCATCTTGGCACGCTCTTGGTCTGAGGCCGTCCACCTATCTGGCGCTTCCTTGGGGCGCTCAGGGGGCCCCCAGGGCCCGGGACCAGGAGTTCCGGCATCCGTGACCCGATTTTGTTGGGACTTTGCCAGGAGTCTCCCTCCAGGATTAAGTGGGGCATGTTCCTTTACAGGAGGAATATTCAAAAATAGTATGAACAAAAGTCCAGGGACGATTTATGGACCATACTTGACTCTTTTGGAGCATTTTGGGAGTATGTTTTACTTCTCGTCCAAAGGCCGCCTGTAGAAAGGCATGCCCGACCTAACTCCAGGGGCCCCAGGGGCCGCCACGCGCGCGGCGATTCGAAACAATCTGAAACTCGCGGAGGTTTTAGCACGCCTCTGGCCTAGTGGGCCGCATGCTTGTCCCGCATGCGGCATGCTCGTCCCGCATCTTGTCCCATGTACTACGGGCGGCGCATCCCGCCCGCCCGCCCGCCTGAACATCCTGCTTATCGCCTTCGTCGGCGTCGGCGTCGATTGCCGGCGGCTAGAGAGGGGTAGGTTCGACCCCCCCCCCGATGTTCGACTTCCAGTTTCGAAAGGGGGGGATTCTCGCCGATGAGAGGGTGGGATCCAGATCCGAAGAGGAGAGGGGGACTTCGGAGAGGGAGGGGCGGGTCCCAGTTCAGACATGAGTCGATCTTTCGAGAATTCGGAAGTTATAGCTTTGGGACTGTAATCGAATCGAGGAGCCGTGCGGAAATATGAGTTGCCCTGCGAAGTGCGCGCACGTGGGTCTAGTTCGTGAATACATGTGTGTATCTAACAGCCCGAAGTCTTGTCCGCATGACCAAATGGCGAGAGGCGAGGTCCATCAACAGGTGCTGGCGACGCAGCAATATCCGAAGTTGAGCGCCAACCAGATCGTACAGCAGTTAGTCGCGCCAGGGTGACCACAGGACCACACGGCAATGAACCACAAGGCCGTGCACATCACGTGCCAGTGCGCTTGCACGCGCACATAGCATGAAGACGTGTGAGACAATGGCGTGGATGGAGAGGGAGGGGGGGCAGGGGGGGAGGGGGGGAGGGCAGGAGGAGGGAGGCGGCAGGGGCGGGGGGGGGGGAGCGAGAGGAGGAGGAGGAGGAGGAGGAGGAGGAGGAGGAGGAGGAGGAGGAGGAGACAATGACGGTTTCGAGCAGTTCCTATCAATACAGATCTCTCCTCTCCCCCTCGCCCCGCCTGCTCCTTCCCCTGCCACCCCCTGCCCCTCCCCCTCGCTCTCCTCCCCCATGCCCTCGCCCTATCCCCATCACAGCATCGAGTCTCCCCTCCTCTCCCCCCTCCCCCTTCCCCCTCCTCTCCCCCTCCTCTCCCCCTTCCCCTCGAGCCTCCCCTCGAGCCTCCCCTCGAGCCTCCCCTCGAGCCTCCCCTCCTCCCCACACAACGCATCCAGGCCCAGCGACAACGAGGCGCGGATGAAGGTGCTCCGCGCCCGGCGGAAGCAGGTCTCGGACTGGGAGCGCCAGTGGGAGGAAGGAGGCCCTTGCCCCGCCGGCGCTTGGAGGAGGAGGACGGGGCGCGGCATCGGCAGCAGGAGGGTGAGCATCGAGGGAGAAAAAACGCCACAAACGTAAGCTTTTGGCGCTCCGCGCGGATTTCTTGGATCCGCGCTGGGCCCCCCCGCGGCGCCTCCGGCGCCGCCCCTGGCGCGCTCCGCGCGCCAGGGAGGGGGTCCAGCGCAGATCCAAGAAATCCGCGCGGAGCGCCAAAAGTTTATGTTTATGGCGTTTTCTTTTGTTCTAGAGCAGCAGCAACTGCAGCAGCAGGAGCAAGGATTGCAACAGGAGCAGGTTGGCCCGCCAGCCCCCCCTTCCCGCACAGGCGCATTCGGGTTGGCCTCGATCTAGTACGGTGTCTAGCGCTTTCATCTCGGACTTGTGTTTTGGTTGTTGTTTCCTCTCCACCTGAACGTCGTCCTTGTCCCCTGCGCCCGCTCCTCACCATCCGCGCTATCTTTGAGCAACTCTCAGGCGCTAAGGATGAGTTGCTGGAATTGGAGGGTAAGATCGGGTCGGGCGAAAGGGGGGGTTTGGGAAAGGGGGGTTACGAAATCTGCTGCATGCAGCTGGTTTCGGCCCGACCGAGGGGCCCATTCCTCGATACATGGGCGCCTCCCGGCGCCAGGAGGCGCCGGGAAAATCAGCTACGCGAGCTGATTATCAAACCCCCCCTTTGCTATCCCCCCCTTTCGCCCGACCCGATAAGAGCAAAATAGGCACAAGAAAATGCTGGCGCTTGGGGAAAGGTTTGCAGGACGAGGACGGGGAACCTGAGGGGCGGTCGCGAGATCGGGGCGCCCCCCTGGTGCACACGAGGTTTCCCGCCCCACCGCTCCTCCTCCTCCTCCTCCCTCCTCCTCCTCCCCTCCTCCTTCTCCTCCTCCTCCTCCTCCTCCTCCTCCTCCTCCTCCTCCTCCTCCTCCTCCTCCTCCTCCTCTCCTCCTCCCTCCTCCTCCTCCTCCCTCCTCCTCCTCCTCCTCCTCCCTCCTCCTCCTCCTCCTCCTCCTCTCTCCTCTCCTCCGCCTCCTCCTCCTCCTCCTCCTCCTCCTCCTCCTCCTCCTCCTCCTCCTCCTCCTCCTCCTCCTCCTCTCCTCCTCCTCCTCCTCCTCCTCCTCTCCTCCTCCTCCTCCTCCTCCTCCTCCTCCTCCTCCTCCTCCTCCTCCTCCTCCCTCCTCCTCCTCCTCCTCCTCCTCTCCTCCTCCTCCTCCTCCTCCTCCTTCTCCTCCTCCTCCTCCTCCTCCTCCTCCTCCTCCTCCTCCTCCTCCTCCTCCTCCTCCTCCTCCCTCCTCCTCCTCTCCTCCTCCTCCTCCTCCTCCTCCTCCCTCCTCCTCCTCCTCCTCCTCCTCCCCTCCTCCTCCTCCTCCTCCCCTCCTCCTCCTCCTCTCTCCTCCTCCTCCTCCTCCTCCTCCTCCTCCTCCTCTCCTCTCCCTCCCACCTCCTCCTCCTCCCCTCCGCTCCTCCTCCTCCCTCTCCTCCTCCTCCTTCCTCCTCTTCCTCCTCCTCCTCCTCCTCCTCCTCCTCCTCCTCCTCCTCCTCCTCCTCCTCTTGCTGGCACCCTTGGCCAGGTCTCCCCGGTAGCGCATCTAACTCGAGGACTCCGCCACGCTTCTGCCTTACTCCGAGCACGGAGCGACTGCACCGACGTTCGGATCATGCATAGTGTTCCTTCCCTGCCTGAGAGATTGGTATTAGCGTTGTTCGTTCTCGTTCCCCGTCTGTGTGTGAAGTCCGCTCATATCCTTATTATCTCATCACATACCGCAGCAGTATCGGCTCAGGTATTGGCACATAATGACAGTGCGGTGCTCTCCGTGCAGCGCCCTGGAAAAGGGAGTCCTCCTCCTTGCCTCTACCGACGGACCCCGTATAGGATCGACCCCTCAGTCGTCTTCCTATACACACCGCCATGCGCACGGAGTAGTGGCAATGTTCGTTCAAGGGTAGATGTCGAGCCGTTGTATTTTGGTGAAGGGGAATGTGGCAGAGGAGTGCCAGGAGTAGTGTTGTCGTCAGACGGAGCTCTTCCCGACGCGTTGAACACAACACGGGCTAGCCATGTTGTTAGCCAGGCGTTTTGGGGGAGAGGTTTGCCGATGCGTTGTTGTTTGAAAGCTTGGTCATAGGCTCACCCATTTGCTGACCACGCTTCCCGCCCGAGTTGGGAAGGTCGTAAGCAAAAGCTTTGGGCCCTGGGAATTCCACAGAAATCTCAATCAATCCTGGGCCAGGTCGACCATCCAATAGTAGTGCGAAAGTGTTGGCAGTTTCGTCTAGCTAAAGCTGGGCGACGTGTTGTCGCGTGTATTAGCTGGATGGTGATGTGCGGATGGTTAACTTTACACTGTACTCTCTCTCTCTCTCTGTTGTTTGGGCACGGTGTAGAATATGTGAATCGTATGTTTGATGTATGTTGGACCATATGCGTTTAATGCATTTCGGGCGCCAGGAAGTCCTATGCTTTCGGCCCAAACATGTATCGTTCTGCCAGTTCCCCAACAGTTTCTCCTTTCAGTTCTACAGATCGCCGCAGCCCCCAGCCTCCAATATGCTTGACCCCGGAAGTATCGGCTCAACATTTTCACAGCAGTTTGCCAGCCGTGTCAATCGGTTCAGGTCTTGCGGCCCCGAAAGGGCGTTCCAGAGAAACCCGAAGTAAAACAGATTTCGATCGCCGTGCTTCTTCGCGACGCTCGGGGTCAGCGTTCCTCCCCATCCAAGGCCAGACCACCGGGGCGACAATCCAGTGGACGAAGTCGTACGAGCTCGACTTCGTCATGGACGGAGACCAGGCGCTGTTGGGCGATCGGCATGTGCAGTGCCCCGTACTGTGGCGGGCGGAGAGCGAAACGCGGCGTTCCCTGAAGATCATCCCACTCTTCTGGCACTGAAAAAGTTGCCCCCGCCCCCCCCCCCCGTCGAAAGAAACGTTCTCCCAAGGGAGACGGGTCCGGGACGCCGCTTGTCTCAGCGTTGGGAAGCGCGGGAGGAGGTTCCCGGATGCTGCCAGCCGAAGGTTTCGGGAAGGACAAGGACGGAGGATGAGGAGGAGGGAGGAGCGGGAGGAGCAGGGGGAGGAGAAGGGAAATGGGGATGAGGAGGTCAGAGGGGCACGGGGGAAGGATGACGCGGAAGAGGAGGAGGAGGAGGATTCGGAAGTGCGGTTGGGAGGATGGGGCGAATTCATTCAAGGAATTAGCACGGGCCCAGGTTCACCCGTTGGGTTTGTCTCTTCTCCCCAGGGTTTGTTTGCTGAGAGTTGGCGGATGTCCTCAGCACCCCAAAACATGTATTGGCTTACAGCTTACGTTATAGACGTATGTGCGTTATCAAATTGTCTTCGGGGAAACCCTGCCACTGTGCCAGCGGAGCATCGAAATCCATCCAGGGTGGTTCTGCCGAGGTCTCAAAACCAGGTCGGTTCAACCACGTTGGGGCCGTCGACGAAGAAGCGGTGTGATGATGCTGTAGCGTGGCGACGCCACAACATTGTATGGCCGTTGCGTTGTCTTGGGGACCTCTTGGAGGCGGTGATGGCATGCCGGAGATCTCGTGACCGTCTTGGACACGGGTTCTCTACAGTCGGACCGAGGTACAAGATCGAGGTCGGTTCGGGGAATGTGCCCTAATGTGTTTCGTGTTTGTTGGATGTTCTACTGCGTCTTGGGGAGGGTACCCTCGGATGTTCTGTGCGCTTCGGCTGGCGGAGGGTCTCGAGTTCTTAAAGTCGGCGATTCAACGATGGGGTCCTGAGGGATGGGGTCCTAAGGATAGGAAGGGATCCAAGGGTGGATTTGCACTGTCTGCGGCACCTTGTCCTTGGGACCCCATCCTCGGGTTGACCCACAAGGGGGTCCAGCGAGAAGGGGGTGGTGCAATAGATTTGGTGCAATGGATTTGTAGGGGATTTGTGGGGTTGCAAAACATTTGGGGCGTGCAATACATTTCGCGGCGCAAATGTATTGCTGCAGTTTCGCGTGCACTACATGACTTGCTCACACTGTAATACAATTCTCCAGCGCAGTACATCTGCAACACAGTTGCCCCAAATCTGTTGCACCACCTCCTTTCAGCTGGGCCCCCATGTTGGGTCACCCGAAATCCCTCGGGACCCCATCTTTGAACCACACCGAGGAAGGCTGCTCGTCTGCCCCCGGTCCGACTGCACCGAGTGTTCTCGAAGAGGCTCGCTGGAATTGCCGCGAGCACGTGTGGGCAGAGGTGCTGGGGGCCGTCCTGGAGACCCCTCGGGGCGGGCCGCCCGGTCGGGAGGGGGGGGGAGGGGGGGGAGCGCTCGGGGGCGGAAAAGAGGGGGGTGATGACTAGGGGGGGGTGGATATCATGGCGGGGGCCATGATATTTCCCCAGATGTCATGGCGCTTCTTCTTCTTTCATTACGTTTCTGGCCCCCCCGCTGGGCCGCGCACATGCCGCCGGTTATGATTTGCACCCCCCCTCTGGGACACCCCTTGGCCGCTCCCGAATTCAGCCTTCAATCGGGCACGTCCCTCTACAGGAGAAATATTTAAACATGGGCCCGACAAATCGTCTGAGGGCGATGTTCCTGCTATTGTTCGGCTACTTTTGAATACGGTTTGACTGTTGCTGATGTTTCTACCAAGATCCGCCTGTAGGAGGACACGCCCGACCTAAATTTAGCGAGATGATTCGTTTCGCAAGGCCTTGGGGTGCAAGTTTAATACAGTCAACGCGCCTAGTGAGGACGCGCGCCTTCATCTAGGGTGCCCTTGTGTCCGTGCCTCTGCGGCCACTCAGGCACCGTTTTCACTTGCCGCCCGCCACCCAAAAAATCCGAGCTACGGACTCCAAGAGTCTTGCGTCCTTGCCACCCGTCCTTCATGCACGTTTTGATTGTAGATTCATGGCGCCCCGCACCTGCGGGCAAGAGTGAGCGGGCGGCGGGGTCGTCGACAGTCTGCGATGCTCTGAGAAAGGCCGCCGCGAGCGCCCATGTTTCCTCGCACGTGACACAACGAGCCTGCCGCAGGCGCCGATGTTTGCGTCAGAGCAGCGCGGGTGGGTCGCGGGGTGCGTCGCGGGGTGGGTCGCGGGCGGTTCGCGGGCACGGGCGACGACAACCACGCAACAGCACGACGCAACAACAGTCCGCACCGCGGACCCCACTTCAGCCACGCACCCGGGGACAGGGAGTGACGGTTCGGCCCCCTCTCCTTTGATAATCATTTGGATCATGATACAAGGCGCCCGCTTTCGCCCGTGCCACTTCAGTCAGAGGCCAGCCGCGAACGAGCCATTTGAAGATTGCCGCCATGAAAAATATATGGTGCATCATTCAAGTTCGGTTTGGGTGTTGCCCCCGCTTTGGAGCTCTCGGGTGGGACTCACCGACTTGGAATACAGTCAACCCGGATAATAAGGATGGGCAACCTTCCCAAGGGTACCCTTGCATCCTTGCCCCTTCGGCCCATCCTTGGCCACTTTCGCTGTCCGCGCCTCGCACGAAAAGCCTCGAAACGGCCCTCCAAGGCGCTTGCACCCTCATCGCGCATCCTCATGACACGGGCCGACTGCACCACCGCCTCTCTCCAGGGGCTCCCCGAGGCCCGAGCGTGCCCTCGAGGGACGACGCGGTGGCTCCCCCCCGGCAAGTGGGCAGACTTCTTTGGGCGCCGCGTAATGGGGGGGTCATAAATGGGGGGGGGGGGGGGCAAGGGTGGTTCGAAAAGGTACCCAAACGGTACCTAAACGAGCCCCCTGGGGCTCTGGAGGGGCCCGAAAGGGGCACGAAAGGGGACCTTTTTCGGACCCCCCGTTTATATGACCCCCCCATTAAGCCACGCCCAACTTCTGCGCCGCGCCCGCGGAGTCGCGAGGGAGCCTCGAGCAGGGCACGGCGCTGCCGCAGACAGAAGCCCTGGGCGCGCGCTTGCGCGGCAGAGGTCCCCGCCCGAGTGCTCTCGCCTCTCCCCCCCTCTTGCCCTCTCTGCGCGGCCGGCCCCCTCGCTCCCTTCCTGGCACGCCGGCCAATGAGCCCGCTGGTTGCCACACACGCTCCTCCTCCTCCTCCTCCTCCTCCTCCTCCTCCTCCTCCTCCTCCTCCTCCTCCTCCTCCTCCTCCTCCTCCTCCTCCTCCTCCTCCTCCTCTCCTCCTCCTCCTCCTCCTCCTCCTCCTCCTCCTCCTCCTCCTCCTCCCCTCCCTCCCCCTGCCTCCCTCCCTCCCTCCCGGATTGCCTCTGCCTCGAAGCAGACGGGGAAAACAGCTCGAGCGGCAGGTTTGACCAGACAGAGTTGCCAGGTGCCGTGTGGACTCGTTGGGCCGCCGAGCTGACGCGAGACATCGTGATTGACGCTGGCCCATTCCCCTTGAAGGGGGCTGTCTTGCAGACCTGCGCGCACGCAGGAAGCCGTGCCTGGTCGGCACCTCGGCCAGAAGCCACTTGAAATGAAGGCCATGAGGAATGCAATACACGAGGCTGGAAGCTCGCAGACATGGGAATAGTGTTGAACATGGTTCAACTCAGCGTTCGCAACCGCTGTTGAGGCTGAGGGCCCAGGGATCGCACCCGAGGCTACCCCCATAATGTTTGCTGTTACGCGACCAGGGCACGAGGTGCCTCTCCAGAGCAGTGCAGTAGTGCCTCTGCGGTGGGTCACCCAGGTCGACACGGAATTCAAGTGTGCAGGTTATTCGGGTTTGATTCAAAGGCTGACGCCGCACTGCCGACCCCCTGGTCCTACTTCAGCATGGCGTTCGAATACTAACTGGCTGTTCGAAGTCTTGAGATGGCGAGAACACGGAAATCTTGAGTTCATAAGGGGAGCAATGCCACGCGCTACGGATTGAAATGGCTTGTGTGCTTCTGAAGGTTCTCCTGGGAGTCCGCCCTCTGAAGTTGTAGTGGGAGCTTCTTGGGTTGTCTTCAGGCCATCTTGGGCCCATTCGGGGCCACGTGGAGGCCAACTTGGGCTGCTTAGGGGCCTATTGAGGCCACGTCGAGGCCGTCCGAGGCCGTCCTGGTGCACTTCTGAAGCAAATTACCCCGCTGGCGAAATCCGGCCGAATCCGACCGCACCCCTCCCCAAAATTCGCCACGCCAAGCTCCCGGGGGAGGGGTTTCGAGAGGGGCAAGTTGGCAAGAATCTCCTGCGCCGAGTAACCCCCAGTGGTCGGCGGATTCAAATGTTTCTCACAACCGTGGGGGAATAGAAATCCAAACCGAGCCGCTGCTTACACTGCTCGTACTGGCCGGGCCAGGGCCTCCTCTTCTTCTCCTGCGTGTCCCTCCTGGTCCATTCGCCCCCCCTCCTCCAGCTGCTCTCACTCCTAGGCCTCCGAGGTAGGGTCGGAGGGTCGCGATGCGGCTTGATGTGGCGCCCCGATTCCTCCACGCCGGCAGCGCCGGTGCCTCGCAGAGACGTCGCCGCTGCGTCGGCGATGCATCGGCGGTGCGGCGCGGCCCTCCGACCCCCCTCTGCGCGGCCACGGAGCAGGAGGCTGTACAGTGCCGTTGTTTGTACGTGCTCCGCGTGCGGGTCATGTATTGAAAATGCAGGGATCTAGTATTGAAAGCAACGATGAGTTCATGCATACAGTCATCCACAATTTAATCATGGATTAAAAATCCTATTTGTTAAGAAAATCCGGTGCATCAAACATTGCCCTGTATGTCCTGCTCCGGCATCTGGTGGCCCCTGCCCCGTCCGACCCCGCTGCCCCACGAGGCCTCGTGCCGCCCGCCCCCCGCCTGCTGCCGCCAGCCTCGAGGTGCAGGCGTTCTCGCTGAGCCGCGCGGCGGGGGGCAACGGCGAGCGGGTCGTCGTGAAGCAGGCGCCCCGTCGGGGCAGGCTCAGCCCGACCCAAGAACAGGAAGCGCGGGGACCATGACCAAGACGTCGCGGGATCTCGTCGGCGCCGATCTCGTTCATGGCCCATGCCCGATCCGCGAGACTGTTCCACGAATGCCGCTGGCCGTGACGGACGATGAGCAAGGTCGACGCCGACGTTCCGCGTTGAGTTCAGCCTTGGTCTTGATGCGTGTCGTCCCCCTTCCCCCATCCAGCCACTGTGGCCACCACCTCCTCTGCGCGATTGTCGTTTCGTGTTTCGGCCCTGGCATTGGGCACATGTCGGCCTCGTCGCCGTAGCAGCGTCACGTCCAGCGGCTTGCAATATTCTCAGGTCTGCACATCTGATGCTCGTGGAATGCCGTAAGCAGGAGTCGCGGCCCGAACCATTGAGTCTCAGGTGCAGCACCGAGCAGCACCCACAGATCCACATTGTCTCTCCCGTTGCGTCGCGGGGGGGGGGGGCGATTACCCCAGCAGGGCAGCAAAGGTAAAGAGGCGGCTCGGGGAGTACAAGAAGGTCTGCTAGTGAAGACGTGCATCCCTATGTCTTCCCAGGGGCACCCTTCACCTCCCCACCCGCGGCAGCCCGCACTGTCTCCCCCCCCCCTTCCCCCTTGCATGCTGGCAGAGTTCGTTCTTCGGTGCCCTTGTCTAGCTTCAGCGCTGGCGCAGCCAACTCTGCTTAGCCGCCGACGGAAAAAAAGTCTTCCCATCCTCCTGCTCGTCTTCGTCTTCCTCCTCCTCCTCCTCCTCCTCCTCCTCCTCCTCCTCCTCCTCCTCCTCCTCCTCCTCCCCCCTCCCCTCCTCCTCCTCCTCGTCCTCCTCCTCTCTCCCCCTCCTCCTCCTCCTCCTCCTCCTCCTCCTCCTCCTCCTCCTCCTCCTCCTCCTCCTCCTCCTCAGGCGTACCAGGGGGTGAGAGCACGGCCGCGTGTACAGCAGCGCGTGTGTTGCAGGGGGTCGTGGCTCTGTGGCAGGGGCGGGGGCACGGCCACGTGCACCGTAGAGCGTGCTCCTCTCCGGCCATCTTGTGGTGCTGGGTCCTCGCTTTGAAGAGCCCCGCGCTCACTTCTCACGGAGGAGGAGGAGGAGGAGGAGGAGGAGGAGGAGTGGGAGGAGGAGGAGGAGGACGCACGGAGGAGGAGGAGGAGGACGACGAGGAGGACGAGCAGGACGAGGACGCGGACGAGGACGAGGACACGAGGAGGACGAGGACGAGGACACGAGGAGGACGCGGATGAGGACGACGCGGACGAGGACTCATGGAACCATCTAGAGGTATTAGTGCGGCTGCTGCTGCTGCTGGTGCTGGCGCTCTCTGGAAGTTTTGGGGGCCCTCTTGGAACCCTCTTGGGATCATCTTGGAGGCCATCGATGACAGGATGGGGGGGGCGTGCCCAAAGCAGGTCCCCCCTCAGGAGCCCGCAAACCGCTTCTTGGGACTCTCTTGGAGCGCTCTTGGAGCGGTCTTGGGGCCATTTGGAGCATCGTGAAAGCCATCTTGAGCCAGCTTGGGCTATCTGAGCCATCTTGGAGGTCATCTTGGGCTCTCTGAGGCCGCTCGGGGGCCTCTTTTGAGGCCCTCATAGGGCTCTTCGGGGCTCTTCTGGGGCGCCTTGCGGCCCTCTTGGGGCCCTTTTGGAGCTCTCTTGGGGCTTTTTTGGCGTTCTCTTGGGGTCCTCTCGGGAGCTATGGAGCCCCTCCTTGGGGCCGTCTTGGAGACCATCGATCAAAAAATTACCCCCCTGTCCCCGCGCTCCTGGGTCACTCACTCGGGCGCGACGGCGATCGCGCCGTGTGCGCGTCGCGGCCCCGGGCCGGAGAAGCGCCGTTCTCTCCAGGGCGGCGGCGCTGCAGCGCGAAAACAAAAAAACACAAAAAAACGCCCGGGGCGCGGGGCGCGCAGGCAGGACGCCACAGACGTTGCATTCCCTGGGAAAAAACGCACAGTGGGACAAAAAAGCACACACAGTGGGAACAAAAACACACACAGAGTGTTTTTGTTCCCACAGTGTGTTTTTGCGTTTGTTTTTGCATGCTTTTTGTATGCTTTTGGTGTGTGTGTGTGTGTGTGTGTGTGTGTGTGTGTGTGTGTGTGTGTGTGTGTGTGTGTGTGTGTGTGTGTGTGTGTGTGTGTGTGTGTGTGTTGTGTGTGTGTGTGTTGTGTGTGTGTGTGTGTGTGTGTGTGTGTGTGTGCGTGTGTGTGTGTGTGTGTGTGTGTGTGTGTGGTGTGTGTGTGTGTGTGTGTGTGTGTGTGTGTGTGTGTGTGTGTGTGTGTGTGTGTGTGTGTGTGTGTGTGTGTGTGTGTGTGTGTGTGTGTGTGTGTGTGTGTGTGTGTGTGTGTTGTGTGTGTTGTGTGTGTGTGTGTGTGTGTGTGTGTGTGTTGTGTGTGTGTGTGTGTGTGTTGTGTGTGTGTGTGTGTGTGTGTGTGTGTGTGTGTGTGTGTGTGTTGTGTGTGTGTGTGTGTGTGTGTGTGTGTGTGTGTGTGTGTGTGTGTGTGTGTGTGTGTGTGTGTGTGTGTGTGTGTGTGTGTGTGTGTGTGTGTGTGTGTGTGTGTGTGTGTGTGTGTGTGTGTGTGTGTGTGTGTGTGTGTGTGTGTGTGTGTGTGTGTGTGTGTGTGTGTGTGTGTGTGTGTGTGTGTGTGTGTGTGTGTGTGTGTGTGTGTGTGTGTGTGTTTTTGTGTGTTTTGTTCCCCCGCGCCAGCGCCTCGCCCACGCAAGGTGCGGCTGGAGACGGCCGAGACGGCCGCCACCGTGCCCGACGACGCCCGAGGCAACTTCGCCGACCCCCACGGCACGTGCCGGCTGGAGGAGAAGGTGAAGCACCCGCTGGCGCACGTGGAGCTGGTGGCGCCGCACCAGAAGTCTTCGGCGCTCAACGACCTGCTCCTCGTCCTCGCCGCCGTCGCCGAGCAGGGCCACCCGGTTTGCCGCTCGGGCTGCGGCGAGGAGGATTGGTCTGCGTTGTTCGTCACGCTGTCCATGATCACGGTGCCGGGCGACATCTCGGTGATGATCGAGGAGCCGAGTCTCGAGGTGTTGGAGGCGCTGGGCAGCCTGTCGTTTGACTACACCGCGACGGTGTTCAACCAGGGGGAGCAGCGCACCAGCGACGGGTCCGTGCGGCTGAATTTCACGGGGCCACACGGGCGCGCCTTCCGCATGCGCGGCGAGGCGAACCACACAAAGGTTGGCCCGTTGACTCTGGATGTGATAGCCCGGGGCCCGAGCGGACACATCTACGCCAACGTCGATTTGTCCCTGCAGCATGCGCACCAGTGCGTGCAGTACGACTACCCCGTGCTCACGGAGTCGAGCCAAGAGATGCTCCAGGACTTGGCCACGCGGCCACTTAACTTCTTTACCATAGCAGAGCTGGACGGAGAGGACTGTGGCATCTTCGTCGCGCAGCTGGCGCGCGGGGACTGGATTCACCTCTGGGTTGACATGGAGGCCGAGAGGCCGCACAGCGTGCTGCGGTCCGAAGTCCACCGCGAGGGCAGCCTGCTGCGGCGCACGGAGGTGCTGCGTTGGCACACCGACGACGTGGAGTTCACAACCGTGCCCCCCAAGGAGTGGGCGTGCACGGAGAACCCCGAGGCTTCCAGTGGGGAGACGCAGTTGGCGCACTTGGGCTTGCGGCAGGTGCACAAGAAGTCGATACAGCTACAGGACACCCTGTACGCGCTTCGCAATCTGAGCCGTGGCTTCGCCATCCTGGAAGTGCTAGGGCTTCCGGGAGACGTGGCCATCATGGTGGAGGAGCCCACGGTGTCCGACTCCGCAGAGTGGCGACGAGTCGCGTTCGAGTACAGCGCAGCGCTCTCGCAGCACAGCGGCGGCGACCCCAGCACAGAGGTGCCGGCCACCTACTCCTTCGACGGTAGTTTCGCTGCGGATGTGGAGGCTGGCAAGTTCTGGATCAACTTGCACTCTCCAGACTTGGATCCCTCGGCTCCGAACGTCTCCGTCTTGGTTGAGCCAGGCATGCTCTCGGTGCATATGCAGGACGCCACAGACAGCAGGTGCCTGAGATTCCAGGTGCCGAACGAAAACCTGGCGTCTCCTTGGAGCGCTCCGATTTTCGCCTCCGTGGAAGACTTGGGGCAGATGGCTTGCAACCGCTTTCTGATCCGAAGCGTCACTGGCGGCACGGACGTGGACTTCTGGTACTCGAAGGATCGGGGAAACGTAAGACTCGAGCTCGCCGGAACTTGGGTTTGCCGACGCTTTTTGACGAGGCCGTCCTGGATTTGGACGGTCTCGCCAGGCCAACCCGAGTCCCCCGATTTCGAGTCTTACGTCTCCCCGAAAGGAGAGCAGGAGTGTCTGCCAGATGGGCGTGCTATCGACCCAAAGCGGCCAGGCCGATATCGGCGCTGTCTTCACGGTCACCAAGTGGCACCGGTCAGAGCCGTCCGAACGGTTGCCGGCGTCGCGGTGGGAAGTTCCCAAGGATTGGAATTGTCAGGACGCAGGGCAATCAGGGAGCGATTGGGCGCTGATCACGCCGCAGCAGGACGTTCCCAGAGAGGGCGCACCAGCTGACAGGCGCGGCCCCGTGGAGGCGTTGCTGCCCGCGGGCTCGGCCATCTCCACGCTGGCCCTGGCGTGCGGGGCGGTGGGCGCGCTGCCGACGGCAGCGGCAGCTGCGCTGTCCAGGCTGGCCATCCGCCCGCCGCAGGGGGGCACCGCGGGGCGGCCCGAGCCCGCTGCACCGCCGAAGGGCGTCTTCGACCAGGACTTGGCGCACTTCTCCTTCTCCTTCGCCACGTCGACATCGGGGGTGGAAGGTCCGAGCATTCTCGTTGGGTGGAGGGCAGAGGGTGAAACCTGAAGTGCCGTCTCGGTCGATTCCCGAGGTTCGAGTCTGCAAAGGGTGCGTCACAAGACGGATTGATCCTCGAGGTGCAAAAAGCCCGTACAGTGCCGTTTTTAAAATACATGCTCCGCGTGCGGATCATGTGTTAAACATGCATAAGTTCATTCATAACTTAATCTGTATTCAAATCTTATACTTTTAAAACTCCTATGTATTTAAAACTGCCCTGTACGAATCTCACCTTGAGCCCTGCACCCGAGGAGGATGCTCCGAAGGTGCCTCGTCTGAGGGCCGCGTCTTCGTGGACCTGGCCAGGCGGCGGCTCCTGGTCCTCGGGCACGCCAGCATGCCGTCGGCGGGTATGGACAAGGCGCTCGCGCCGCGGCCACGTCTGCTCGATCACGATGCCAGTACAGTGCCGGTTTTAATACATGCTCCGCGTGCGGGTCATGCATTAAAAATGCAGGGATTTAGTATTGAAAACAACGATGACTTCATGCATAGATTTATACATGAAGTGATCCTGTATCACAATCCTACATTTTAGACATCATATGTATTAGAACTTGCCCTGTATCAAGTCGGGCGTGTCCCTCTACAGGAGGATCATTCAAAAGTAGCGAACAGATAGTCTGGGGACGAGTCTTTGAGTTTGTGTTGACTATTCTTGAGCATTGTTGAAGTATCTAAAAATTGTCGCCCGAACCCCCCCTTGTAGGGGACATGCCCGACTCAATGTTAGTATCGAATGTTGTTGGCGCCATTGGGCGACCGAGTGGCAGTGTTCCAAGCGATCGCCGCTCGAGCTACCTTTGCGATGAAGATTGCACTTATGATTTGCAGAACGCCTGGAACCTTGATTTTTTTGTCGTGGCCAGATCAGTTGTTGCCAGACTGTTGATCCATGGACGCCACCATGTTCATTGTTTTCTCTGTGCTAACTTATCCAGCTGCCTGCGGCAAGTCCCACCCACGTGCCAGTCCGGCATGTTTCAAGGGAGGAAAAACCACCCGGACCGGACAATTCGCGTGTTTTACACGGCCCTGGGCGTTTACTAAACGGCCTTGCCCTGTTTGATTCCTTCTTTGGGTGCGTTTACTAAACGGCTTCGCGTGTCGGGGTGGTTCTTATCGGGGTGGATTTTCTGCCCTCTAATGTTCGACGGCGGTTCTTCGAAGGGCAACCCGGTGCCGTAATCGGTGATGCCTCATTTGCCCAAATTTTAGAGAGTCCTCGTGGCCGCCTGGGGCGTCTCTTGGCGCCGTCGTGGGACCATCTCGGGTCCCTCCACAGGCTCTTTGAGGCCCATCTCACGCCCTCTTGAGTTCGTCCTGGGTGGTCCAGGGACTCTCTGGGGCTGTCTTGAGGCCGTCTTGGAGACTTCTCGGGCTATCTTGAGGCCCTCCTGGGCGCTCGTGGGGTCATCTTGAAGGCCCCTTGGGCCGTCTTGAGCCGACAGAGACTCGAAAATGTAAGAATGATAAATTGTGTCGTAAACCTAAGGGGCATCAAATGTGTTGGCCTCTTTGAGCTTTGCTGGCGGCTCTCGCGGAAGCTGTCGGAAGCCGCGTGGGCCGTCTCGATGCTACCAGAGGCCGTCTTGAGGTCAGAGTCGGGCGTCGTGGAACGCTGTTGCGTCACAGTCTGGGCCTGCCTTGGCTGCCTTGAGAGCCGTCTTAGACATCGTGCGCAGCCGCCCTGGAGAACGTCGGGAACGTGCCCGGGCGCCAACGGCCTCGGGCAGGGGAGGCGATGCGCGCAGCTGGGCGCGACCCCAGAAGCGGGGGGGTCGTCGTCGTCGTCGTCGTCGTCCTCGTCGTCGTCCTCGTCCTCGTCCTCGCCCTCGCCCTCGCCCTCGCCCTCGTTCTCGTTCTCCTCCTCCTCCTCCTCCTCCTCCTCCTCTTCCTTCTCTTCCTCCTCTCCCTTTTTCGCCTCTTTCTCCTCTTTCTCCTTTTTCCTCTCCTCCTCCTCGTCACCTTCCTCCTCCTCCTACTCCTTCTTCTTTCTCCTCCGTCGGGGGGTCAGAAGGGCCCGATGGGGACCTCGGGGACCTTCATGGAGGCTGTCGAGGAGAGGAGAAGCGACACGACCACCACCACCACTACCACCCCTGGGGCTGCCACCTCCACAGAGGAGGTCCACGATGCCTCCCCGAGCTGGGGATGGGGGATGTCCGCAAGAGCAATAGGCGGGCCCCGGCCCACCCGCGCTGCCCCCAAGTCGGGGGCGGAAAGAGGGGGGTGATGACTAGGGGGGGGTGGATATCATGGCGTGGGCCATGATATTTCCCCAAATTTCATGGCGCCTCTTCTTATTTCATTACGTCCCTGGCCCCTCCGCTGGGCCGCGCACATGCCGCCGGTCATGATTTGCACCCCCCCCTCTTGGACACCCCCCTCTTGGCCGCTCCCGACCAAGGGGCCTGCTGGCCGACTGGCCGGCGGACTCGGCGCGTTCGTTCGTTCGTACAGCGCCTCAGTGTGCCAGGCGGCACGGTGGCGGATTTGTTCGGTAGGGTAGGCGTGGGAAGTCGACTCCGCAGTGGCGAAGGCGTGATGCAACATGTCTGCGGGCGTGGGCCCCAAACAGGAAGCGATTGCCTTGCGGGTGTGCAAGCTGTGTGGTACAAGCTGTGTGGCGCAGGCGTGGTGGAAGCCGCGTGGTGCAAGAGATGTGGCGTGACCACTGAATGCGGCATGTGGTTCAAGGCACGTGGTCAAGCTAGCTGGGAAGAAGAAGCGAGGCGGCCACGGTCGCCGCCGCGGCGAGACCTCGATGTGCGGTGGAGCGTGCGTGGCGGTGCAAGACGGAGGCGGGCACGGGCGGCGGCCTGGCGAGACCTCGCCAGAGAGCCACCCAGCGCACGAGGCGGCCACGAAGCGGCCACGGGCGGACGAGGCGGCCACGACGCGGCCACGGGCGGCAGCATCGCGAACCCTCGCCGGAGACGCCCGGCGCACGAGGCGGCCTCGAGGCGGCCACGGTCGGCACCGTGGACAGCCCGCGGCACACCCAGGCGAGTCTTCAGCAAGGGGCGTGTGCAGTATAGCGCACTGCGGATGTGTGACCGTTGTGGTGCCAGCTGTGTGGTGCAAGCCATGTGGTGCAGTCTGCGTCGTGCGAGCCGCGTGGCCCGGGGGACGTGGCGCAGGCTGCGGGGCGCAGGCTGCATGGTGCAGAGCGCTGTGGTGCAAGCTCCGTGGTGCAGGCTCCGCGGTGCACGCCGTGCCGTGCACGCTGTGCGGTGCAAGACGTGTAATGCAAGCTGCGTTGGGCTGCCGCGGGGCGGCCACGGGCGGGCCACGGGGCGGCCACCCAAGAAATCGGAAGTAAGACCAGTAATGCTCGCAGTTCTCGGAGGTAAAGCAAGTCATTCTCGCAATTCTCGCGGCCATCGGTGACCCACGCAGTTCCCTGAGGTAAAACAAGCAGGAACCCCTTTCTAAGTGCGAGCATCGTCTGGGGAGTTGGCCGTGCGCGCCCAGGAGGGGGGAGGGGGGGGGAGGGGCGCGCCCCACGAGAGCCGTGGATGTTTCGGCCTGCGCAGGTGGTCAGCTTCTTCGACTACCAGGGTGACAATGGCTGGGCCTACACCATGAACCAGGGCAAGGACACAATGCGTTGCCCTCTTGCGCGACTGTACCAACAGATTTCGGATATTGCTGGGAATGTTGCGATCCTGGGGCTCGCACCCCGACGCAGTTGGCGCTGGCCTTGCCAGTGGAAGTTCGAAATTGGCGAACACTTGGTACTCGATTCGTTCGATGGCCCTGCGTACACATGTGGAATCATTGCCGGGTGGTCCATCCGCCGCGCGGCGCGGCGGCAAATGGAGATATGGCCTCACAAGTGTAGCTCAGTGCGTTGATGGTGTTACAATTTGCTCATGTTTGCACCCAGAGTCCGTCTTGACTCAGCCTTGGGCGTCTTGGAACGCTCTCGTCTCGGGGCCCCTCTGGAACGTCTGGGGAGCCTCTGGGGGCCATCGTGTCCCGTCTTAGCGCTAAGGGAGAGTCCTGCCCCAAAGGGTCTGCGGGGCGCCGAGAGAAATTTCGCGTATTGGGGACAGGACTCTGGAGGACCTGAGGACGCTTCACGTCGCACCTCGAGGCACGATAGCGGAATCAGAAATTTCGTGACGCTTCGTGACGAAACGGGTGACAGGAGACGCCCCGGCGCTGCTGCGGGCTGGCCGCGGTGTGGGACGGCGCGCCTCCCGCCGCTTTGGCCAGGTGGGTGTCCCCCATTGTGCCTCAGGGGTTCGCCCGCGGCGGCCGTGGAGGCCATGTCGGAAGGACCGGACAGGCAGCGCTGAGGTCTCCCCCCCCACGGGCTCCGCGGCAGGACGGCATTGTGGTGCTCGGGCAGTCGCTGGTGTCCACCGGCACTGGGGGTTGTGTGCCCGAAGGCCTTGCTCTGAGTGTTGCAGCCTTGTACAGCCCGTGTCTAACGCACCGTCGCATTCACCCCGGGCCTATTCGTCGCAGGCGCCGGACTCGATGCGATGGGTGCCGCTGGCCCCTTTCAACTGAGCGGTGGAGTTCGAGGGCTGCGCGCTGAGTGGTTCAGCCTTCCGCGTCTTTTGCCTCTTGCGTTTCCACCGCCGGCAGCCCGGTTTCCTGGGCGTCTGTCTCTTAGCTAGCCGGGCTGGCTGCTTGGAGTTTGGCGCCGCACTGGCGACTCACTCCGTTGCACTCGCACCCGCGGCCGCTTGTACCTTTTGGTTTACTGGGCGGCGCCTAGGTGCGTCTGCTGGTGAACGCAGAGCATTTTTTTCAGTGCGTGTGCAACTGCGCGCTTGTCGTGCAGGTACGATCCGGCCTGCCAACGTGGCGGTTGGGGTCGCCAATTCGGTTTGTGCCGCCCGCCCCGGACATTGCCTCTCGCCGCCAGACCGTTGCCGCGCGGCCGCAGACCGAAAAAGTATCCCCACCAGTCTTACTCGCCGCCGGCGCTCTCGCCCGCGGCTGCTAACAAAAAAAGTATCCCCACCAGCCCATCCAGAAGCGTTATTCATGTTTTGGCTGCATGTAGGCGATGCACAAGCACACAGTGACATATACACGTTGGTTGTCTCTGTCGAGGGTGCGGGGAGGGCGGCGACATGCGTTGTGGGATTCGAGATGTGTTGACTTGCCCCGTGTATGCCACCTTGGGCGGTCGCGGCGCGGGGTCCCGCAGTGTTGCCAGTGCTTTGCCGAGCGGGCTCAGAAAGAAAAAACAAACAACATGATCGACCCACGAACCCGGAAAAGAATACTTGTAGAAATGTAAGGCATGGCAACGCTTCGAAGACACATGATTGGGCGACGGGCAAATACAATGCTGAATGTATCGATCTGGATGTACTGTGCCGAGGGCTGTGCTGTGCTACCCCGTGCTGAACTGCGATGTGCCATGCCGCGAGTGTGCTCTATATAGCGTTGTGGATCGAGTCCTCCCTGGCATCCGAGTTCTGACCGAACTGATCTGGATCTTAAGCTCGAGCTGCTTGAGCAGATGGTAGCTGCCCCAGAACTAATCAACAGAGGGGACATGCCAGGAGGACGCGCCGCGGAACGTCCCAAGGGACGCGCCAGGCGACGTGCCAGGGGACGTGCCATGGGCACGCACCGCGGCACGTGCCAAGGGGACGCGCTACAGAACGTGCTAATGGACGTGCCGCGGGACGTGCCAGGGGACGCGCCGCGCGAAGTGCCAGGTGGACTCGCCACGGAACGCACCAAGGAACGTGCCAAGGTGCAATGTTGAGTGTATCGGTCTTGATGTACAATGCCGACGGTTGTGCTGTGCTGGGCCGTGCTGAATTGCGATGTGCCATGCCGCGATCGTGCTCTATATATAGTGTTGTGGATCGAGTCCCGTTTGCATCCGAGTTCTGACCGAAGTGATCTGGATCTTAAGCTCGAGCTGCCTGAGCAGATGGTAACTGCCCCAGAACTAATCGACAGAGGGGAAATGCCAGGAGGACGCGCCGCGGAACGTCCCAAGGGACGCGCCAGGCGACGTGCCAGGGGACGTGCCATGGGCACGCACCGCGGGACGTGCCAAGGGGACCCGCTACGGAACGTGCCAATGGACGTGCACCGCGCGATGTGCCAGGGGGACTCGCCAAGGGATGCCCTCCGGAACGTGCCAAGCAACATGCCAGCTGCAGTGCTAAGGGTATCGATATTAATGTACCGTGCCGAGGGCTGTGCTGTGCCTGGGCGACCTGGACACGTGAAAACACGCGTTTCGCTCAAGACGTTCTCAGCGCATCCTCATGCTAGACATCCGCCTGGGCAACCAGGACACGTGCAAACAAGCGTCTCGATCGAGACTTCCTCGATACATCCTCATGCTGCGGGACCAGCCAAGGGGACGCACTACAGAACGTGATTATGGACGTGCCGCGGGACGTGCCAGGGGACGCGCCGCGCGAAGTGCCAGGTGGACTCGCCACGGAACGCACCAAGGAACGTGCCAAGGTGCAAAGTTGAGTGTATCGGTCTTGATGTACAATGCCGACGGCTGTGTTGTGCTGGGCCGTGCTGAATTGCGATGCGCCATGCCGCGATCGTGCTCTCTCTCTCTCTCTCTCTCTCTCTCTCTCTCTCTCTCTCTATATATATAGATAGATAGATAGATAGATAGATAGATAGCGTTGTGGATCGAATCCTCTTTGCATCCGAGCCCTGACCGAACTGATATGGATCTTAAGCTCGAGCTGCCTGAGCAGATGGTAGCTGTCCCAGAACTAATCGACAGGGGGACATGCCAGGAGGACGCGCCGCGGAACGTCCCGAGGGACGCGCCCAGAATAATAGCGCGCCATCCCTGGGGGGCTGCGATTTGCGAAACTGTCGTCACTTTCGAGGGCTGCTGGCGAGGCCAGCAGAGAGGGCACTCGCCGCAGATCAGAATAATAGCGCGCCATCCCTGGGGGGCTGCGATCTGCGAAACTGTTGCCACTTTCGAGGGCTGCTGGGAAGGCCAGCAGAAAGGGCATTCACCGCAGACCAGAATAATAGCGCGCCATCCCTGTGGGGCTGCGATCTGCGAAACTGTTGCCAAGTCGAGGGCTGCTGGGGAGGCCAGCAGAGAGGGCACTCACCGCAGACCAGATAATGGCGCGCCATCCCTGCGGGGCTGCGAACTGCGAAACTGTGGCCACTTTGGAGGGCTGCTGGGGAGGCCAGCAGAGAGGGCATTCACAGCAGACCAGAGTAATAGCGCGCCATCCCTGGGGGGCTGCGATCTGCGAAACTGTTGCCAATTCGAGGGCTGTTGGGGAGGCCAGCAGAGAGGGCACTCACCGCAGATCAGGATTAGAGCTCGCCATTCCTGGGGGGCTGCGATCTGCGAAACTGTTGCCACTTTCGAGGGCTGCTGGGGAGGCCAGCAGAGAGGGCACTCACCGCAGACCATAATAATGGCGCGCCATCCCTGCGGGGCTGCGATCTGCGAAACTGTTGCCACTTTCGAGGGCTGCTGGGGAGGCCAGCAGAGAGGGCACTCGCCGCAGATCAGAATAATAGCGCGCCATCCCTGGGGGGCTGCGATCTGCGAAACTGTTGCCACTGTCGAGGGCTGCTGGGGAGGCCAGCAGAGAGGGCACTCACCGCAGATCAGGATTAGAGCTCGCCATTCCTGGGGGGCTGCGTTCTTCACGACGGTACTCGCCGATCCTTCGGGCCACTTGATGCAAATGGGTTGGGTACGTCGCAGGATAATTTTTGTGACGGAGATGGGCGGGGGGGTGATCCTGGTTTTCTTTGTTGGCCGCCGGTCGCCTGGGGGAGGGGGCGTATGTTAGTAGGGAGCAGTGGTAAATTCATCCCCCGAGCAGGGAAGGAGGGGCTGTGGCAGGGAGCTTCTGGCCCACACGTCCTAGATACTCGTTCTGTGCTAAAAAACTAGACTGCTGCATGGGCCGCCGAACTTACAGGCGGCCTTCGCGCCGTTTGTGGAAGGACGAGGGCCTAAGTGGGCGTTGCTGAATAAGTCCTTATGCTAGCATCGGAGGTTGATAGACCTCCTACCCTGACAGGTCGATTAGCAAATTGGTCGTTTTCGGTTCGCGAGAGGGCGTCGCGGCCGTCATTTTTGCAGGTCCGTCGGTTTCGGTCCTAGGCCGGAGGTTTACTAAAGGGAGGTTTGTTCACCGCTGATAGCACTCTACCTCGGGTCCCCTCAACGGGGACTTCGATAAACCAGGGCGCTGACGCGCCCGAGAAAATTGCAGCCGTGGGTCGAATATGTCTCCATTCTTCGTTCTCTTAACGTGGAACTTCCAGAGTCCAAGGTTGGCAGCGTCCTGACTTAGGGGGCTGTGACCACCCTCTCCTGCTCTCCTGCCACTTTCCTCCCCACTCGTGTCCCCCCGCGGGCCATGTCGCTCGTCGCCGCACCGGGCTGGTGGAGCTAGCAGAGATGGCCCGAGAGGCCTCATGGCAGGGCCACAGCGCGAGATTCAGTGGGCAGCGGCCAGGGGTGGCAGGTGCACCTTGGATGACCTTCCCGTCCCCCCTCGGCGTGGCATCGCTCGGACGCGTGCATGTTCTCGGCGTCGACCATCGAGCAGCATGTCAGGTCACCGTGCGAGACATACACGCCCGAAGCCGAAAAGTGCACGGGGAGTGGACGTCCGAGCGATGGCGCGTCAGGCGATTGGGCTGTCGTTTTGCGTGGTTTGGGCTCCAGCGGCCGCTCTTGGGCCCCCGGACGATCCAAGCACGGCCGCCCCGCGCCGTCGCATCTCGGGCCCCCCCCCAGCGGTGCGGTGACCACACCGTGTATCAGGAGGGGGAAAAACACACAGACACAAGTAATCGTCGATTCCCATGGAAATATAAGCAATTATCCCAGTGCGACCCTACCTAAGAGTTGGAGCCCCTAGGAAAGCAGCATAAGTAGTAACAGTAAAGCTAAGCTAAAGCTAAGCTAAAGCTATGCTAACGCTAAGCCCAAGCTAAGCTAAAGCTAAGCTGAAGCTAAGCTAAAGCTAAGCTAACGCTATGCTAAAGCTAAGCTGAAGCTGAGCTAAAGCTAAGCTAAAGCTAAGATAAAGCTAAGCTGATGATAAGCTAAAGCTAAGCTGATGATAAGCTAAAGCTAAAGCTAAAGCTAAGCTAAAACGAAGCTAAAACTAAGCTAAAGCTAAGCTAAATCTAAGCTAAAGCTAAGCTAAAACTAAGCTGAAGATGAGCTAAAGCTAAGCTAAAGCTAAGCTAAAGCTAAGCTAAAGCTAAGCTGAAGCTAAGCTGATGATAAGCTAAAGCTAAAGCTAAGCTAAAACTAAGCTAAAACTAAGCTAAAGCTAAGCTAAATATAAGCTAAAGCTAAGCTAAAACTAAGCTGAAGCTAAAGCTAAAGCTAAGCTAACGCTAAGCTAAAGCTAAGCTAAGCTAAAGCTAAAGCTAAAGCTAAAACTCCCAGGGGACTGGAGGAACCGCGGGGCGGATCCTGGGGGAACCGCCCGGGGCGTGTTCCACTGCCCGGCCCCTTGAGCTAAGAGAGTAAGAACCCTTCTAGGCAGAGCCTAGGTAGGGAAATATTTGAAACATGGGACGTGGGGGGGAAGTCAAGAACCCAGAAAATATAGGAAAATGTGGGAAATCCTTTTATTTGTGTGTATTTATCTGTGTGTCCCAGGGTCCCTTCAGTGTAGTGAGGCGGTGGGGATGCCAGGTGACCGCATGGCTTGGCCGGCGGCGAGCGAGAGGGGGAAATGAGAAGGAGGCGGCGGGACTTCTCAGAGGCCCTCGCGCCTTCTGAGAAGTCTTCTTATGCCTTCGGGGAAGGCTCAGAAAGCGTATCAGAAGGCCCGGGGACTTCCGAGACTTCTGAGAAGGTTTCCTCCTTCTCTGTTTCCCCCCTCGCTCGCCGCCGATTTGGGGATTCGGCGGAGGAGGGCGAGGAGGAGGAGGAGGAGGAGGAGGAGGAGGAGGAGGAGGAGGAGGAGGGAGGAGGAGGAGGAGGAGGAGGAGGAGGAGGAGGAGGAGGAGGAGGGAGGAGGACCGCTCGACCCTCCCTGGCAGCACGCGGCGTCTCCAGGGTTTCGACATCTGCTTCTCCCTGAGGGTCACCAGGAGCGCCTTCAAGCTCGACAACCCGTTCGCCCTCCGCTTCAGCGAGGGCGGTTGCGTCGAGCACGGCACGCCAAAGGCATCGAGCTCTGTTCGAAGAAGGAAAGCTAATTCGAAGAAGAAAACCACATAAACATAAATGTTTGGCGCTCCGCGCGGATTTCTTGGATTGGATCCGCGCCTGGGCCCCCCGGCGCCGCCTCCAGTGCCGCCCCTGGCGCGCTTCGCACGCCAGGGGGGGGGGTCCAGCACGAATCCGAGAAACCCGCGCAGAGCGCCAAAAGTTTCTGTTTATGTGGTTTTCTCGCCTTCTATCAGAGCTTGAATTACCTACCCCGCTTTCGCTTCCAGGCAAAACCAAGTCATACCACGCGCCTCCTCGTCAAGCGGCCTGACCAGTACAGGCCGTAGTTTGGCATCGCTTGGTATCTCTTGGAAGCGAGGGTGGTCAAAAGCGAGGTAGGTTTGTTAGCCCCCTATTCTAATAGTATAAACGTACAGCTGGGGAGGCCCGCGCTGATTCCTCTCATCGGCGCTGGGCCGCCCCCCGGCGGCGCTTCCGCCGCCAACCCCCTGCAGCGCGCCCCGCTCGCCGGGGAGGGGGGCCAGCGCCGATGGAAGAATTCCGCACGGGCTTCGGAAAGTTGATGTCTGTGTTAAGTCGGGCGTGTCCCCCTACAGGGGGATTTTCGACAAAAAATTAGAAATACCCCTAACATAATCACAAAATTGTCCAAAAATACTCTGGGGACTACTTTTTGATTATTTGTTGACCTTTTTGGGTATTGTGGGGGTATTTTTTATTTTTCGTCGACAATCCCCCTGTAGGGGGACACGCCCGACATAATGTTTGTGCAGCTGCTTACTCCTCCTTGGCTCTCTCCTCTCGCGATGCCTCCCCGTCTCGGGCCCCGCTGGCCAGGGCTGCCCACGGGAGTGGGCGGAGGGAGAGGACGTGGGGGCAGGGGGAGGACGCAGGAGAGAGGAGGGAGGAGGGAGTAGGGAGGGCAGGGGCGGACAGGGGGAGGCAGGGAGGGGAGAGGGGAGAGGGGAGGGCAGGGAGGAGTAGGGAGGGGGGGAGGAGGGAGAGGGGAGGAGGGAGGGGAGATGGGGAGGGGGAGGGGAGAGGAGGGAGGGAGGGAGGGGAGAGGAGGAGGGAGGGGGGAGGGGGAAGGGGGGGGGGGGGCGGCAGGGGGGGGAGGGGAGGGAGCCTTCGGGCCCGCGCCCCCGCAGGGTGGGCCGCCAGGGGGCGGCGGCACCCACGGCCGAGCAGGCGGGGAACGAGGAGTGCGGGCGTGGCCCGCCAGCCCGGGGCGCGTGCGGCGGGGCGCGCACCGAGAGGGCGGCACCGACCGGCACTCCCTGCGGCTCGACCCCGGGCGATCCTCCTCCTCCGCCTCCTCCTCCTCCTCCTCCTCCTCCTCCCTCCTCCTCTCCTCCTCCTCCCTCCTCCTCCTCCTCCCTCCTCCTCCTCCTCCTCCTCCTCCCTCCTCCTCCCTCCTCCTCCTCCTCCTCCTCCTCCTCCTCCTCCTCCTCCTCCTCCTCCTTCTCATCCTCCTCCTCCTCCTCCGTGCCGCCACGGGCGGCACGGCGCCGCGCCATTTTGTGGTGGAGCTCGTCGACGTCGGCGTCGTCGGACTCGCCGCGCTCTGCGCAGGCCCACCTGCCGGGCTCGCCGCCTGCTTTTGGTATCTTTCCCTGCTCTTTCTTGCCCCCTTTCGCCCTTCTTCTTTTGCGCTGGTTTAGGCCGCTGCTTGCCTGCAGTGGCCTGACGCCGCCCGACCTCTTCCTCGCCGCGGCCGCGATCAGAAAGTAGGCCCACTTGCTGTCGTCCCCGCAGTCCCTGCAGATGTGCCTTCACGGCGGTCGCGTAGTCCTCCGCAGCGGCATCGGGTTCCACCAATGGTGGCCTGTGGTGGTCGTGACCCCCGCTCGGCCGGGCTTGGTTCGGGTATGGCCAGGACCCTGAGTAAGGGGACCCGGTTAGTGGTAGGGCCCTGGGGCCCCTCAATTGGCCAGATTCACTAAACCAGGTTTGCTGTAACTGGTGTTTTTCGGGTGGCGGCAGTTCCGGTTAGCGGAAATGGGACGGGGGGGCGCCCCCGGTACAAATCACTAAACCCGGTTCTGCCAACGCCCGATTGGTTGGGGAGGGACCTCGCTCCGCAAGGCGAGTTCTCAACACGTGCAGGGGCCTGGCCGTCGCTTTCACCTGGCCAAGGCGGCGGGCCTGGCTTGGTCTACACTTCCTTGCCGTACTTTTTGAAGAACTCGCTGTCCAACATCGCGGCGTTGTGTTCCGAGGCAAGGGCCTGCTGTTGGCGGCAGTCTCTCCAGGGCCCGCGGCCACCTCGACGTTCCCTTTCAGGGTAGCTGTCCAAAACCGCGGCGCCCTGTGCCGAAGCGGTTGCAGTTGTAGGCTCTGCGCTCCCACTTCTTCCTTGCTGGTCTCCTCTTGGCTCGAGTTTTCATTGGAGTCGAAACTGTGTACGCAGCCTGGAGCATCAGGGCCGGCCTGTCCGATTTAGTCGGCGCTGCTGGGCGTCGTGCCGATGGAGGGCAGAGGTGCCGCCGGCCCGGCAGGTCCGGCGTCGTCTTCGTCCAGGTCGTCGACCGCCGTAGCAGGCCCAGACGGGCCTGCATCACTCAGAGTCGAAGAATAACAAACGGCAGAAACATAAACTTTTGGCGCTCCGCGCGGATTTCTTGGATCCGCGCGGAGCGCGCCAGGCGTGGCGCCGGAGGCGGCCCAGCGCGGATCCAAGAGATCCGCGCGGAGCGCCCAAAGTTGATGTTCATGACGTTCTTTCTTCTTCGGCAAAGGGCAATCGCCCTGCGCATGATAAGTGGGGGCACGCAGAAAAGGCGGGGGAAGCCGCGCGGAGGAATATGAGGAGGAGGAGGAGGAGGAGGAGGAGGAGGAGGTGGGGGATGACAGAGAGAGGAGGAGCAGGAAAGGAGGGGGGTAGAGAAGGGGGAGGAGAAGGAGGAGGAGAAGGCGGAGCAGGGAGGAGGAGGAGGAGGGAGGATAAGGAGGAAGAGAAGGAGGAGAAGGAGGAGCAGGGAGGAGAAAGAGGAACAAGGAGGAGAAGGAGGAAGAGAAGGAGAAGGAGGAGGAGGAGGAGGAGGAGGAGAAGGAGGAGCAGGGAGGACGACACGGATGAGGCAAAGGACGGGGGAGGAGGCGCAGACGGACAAGGAGGAGGAGAACAAAGCGAGGGAGGAGGGGGAAGGAGGGAGAGAGGGCGGGGTCGAACTCTCTCGTGAGCCTCGGGGCCGATGGCGAGCAGCACCGCGCTGCGGCTCGGGGCCCTCCTGGGCTTCGTCCCGGCCCTGCTCGCTCGGGGCGCCCTGCCGCACTCCAGCACGCCCAAAAGGGTGTCCAGCGGGCAGGGGGTGGTGAAATAGATTCGGGGCAATAGGGCTGCCATTTGGACCATGTTAGTAGAATACTGTTTGAACATTTTAGAGTGCTGTTTGACCTTCTGTTTGATCATGTCGTGGTTTTTGTTTGAGTTGTCTTTAGTGTTTATTCCAAGATCCCCCTGTAGGGGGACAGGCCCGACTTAAAGATGCGGCCCTCATGGCGCCACCTGGGGAAGGCCAGAGTGCTGCCTCTCTCCTCGGGGAGGGGCACTCCGACTCCGGCGCGTGGTCGTCGGTCAGGGCGCCCTCCTTCGGCTGGCCGCGGTCGTTCGCTGCGCGCCACGCTCGGGAGTCTCGGCCCCGACTCGTAGGGTCAAGTCGGGCCTGTCCCTATACAGGAGGAATATTCAAAAAGAACCCAAAAGTACTCTGGAGGCGAGTTTTGAGTATTTGTTGGCTAGTTCGGAATGTTGTTTGACCATTATTGTTGTTCGTTTAGAGTCCGCATGTAGGGGGACATGCCCGACCTAACCGTGGGGCTTCCCGCTGGCTAACCAAGCGAGGCAACACGTGCGACACGCCTGCGTCCACCCAGGATGGGCAAGGCACGTGGCATGGATCTTCGGCTGCCTCTGCTACGTGACCGTACCCGTGCAGCATGTGAGGACGCCGTGGTTGGTGGGACCTCATTCTCTCACTGCCTGTGCCTTCTGGCCCGCCTCTATTCGGCGGCGAGCGAGGGGGGGAGGTGAGGAGGAGAAGGCCTTAGAAGCCCTCGCGCCTTCTGAGGAGCTTTCTGTGCCTTCGGGGAAGGCCCAGGAAGCTTGCCAAAAGGCCAGGGAACCTCCGAGCCTGCGCAGTAGGACCGCCCCGCCCCTTCTGACTTCCCACCCGGGCTCGCCGCCGACCGCCTTTTCTGTTGACTGGTCCGTTGCGTTCCCCTCATGTTGACCAGTCCGCTGCATTGCACGCCGCTCGTTGGACGTAGGTGTTCATGGATTCCCAGATCCCAATCTACGAAAGAGCGTGTTCTACCGCAGCTGGCGGAAAACCGAGGTGGGTCACCACCGGTTCGAACCCCTCCCCCCCCCAGTTCATCATGAAAAGGGGGGGGTAACTACCGGTTCGAACCCCCCCCCCTCGAAAACCGGGGGGGGTCACTACCGGTTCGAACCCCCCCCCCTCGAAAACCGAGGGGGGGTGCGGACAGTGGTGGGGACGGTGGTGGTGGGGACAGTGGTGAGGGGACAGCGGGACAGTGGTGGGGACAGCGGGACAGTGGTGGGGACTGTAGTGGTGGGGACGGACAATGGTGGGAACAGCAGTGGGGACAGTGGACAGTGGTGGTGACGGTGGTGGTGGGGGCAGTGGTGTGGGGACAGTGGGAGGTGGAAACAGTGGGACAGTGGAGGGTACAGTGGTGGTGGGGACAGTGGTGAAGGCGGTGGCGAGGACGGCGGTGGGACAATGGGACAGAGGTACAGTGGGAACAGTGGTGGGGACAGTGGGGACAGTGGTGGGAACAGTGGGACAGCTCAGTGGGACAGCGGAGGAGTCAGTGGGACAGTGGGGATAGTCGGGCAGTGGTTGGGGCCGTGGAGAAAGTGGGGAGAGTGGAACCGTGGTGGGAACAGTGGCGGGGACAGTGGGGACTGTGCGACAGTGGTGGGAGCACTGATGGGGACAGTAGGGACGGTGGTGGAACCAGTGGGGACAGTGGTGGTGAGGACAGTGGTGCTGGGAACAACAGTGGAGGATGTGGCGCTGACGGTGGTAGGGACCGGGAGTCGTTTGCTGGCGGTGAGTGGGGGGTTTGACCCCCTCTCCAGTTTTCGAGGGGGGGGGGGGGGGGGGGGGGGGGGGCGAACCGGTAGTGACCCCCCCCGGTTTTCGTGGGGAGGGGGGGGAGGGGTTAGGGGAGGGGGGGGGTTTTTGCTGGGGCAGGGGAGGGGGGGGGGACCCCCGGGTTCCGGAGGAAGAGGGGGGCAATTTTCCACAGTAAAGCGGCAGTGGATCACGCTCTCTCCAATCTACTCAAGCGCCTTCCTGCTTCAAGAATCACTGTGTGTGCGTGTGTGTGGTCCCTCTGTTTGTCCAAAACGCTGCTGTCAAGCGCGGGGCCCGCGCGGCGGAGTGTGACGCGCCGCCCGCCCTCACCGGCGACTGCGCCAGCCCTTGTCCCTGCCGCTCTTCTCCGTGCGGTTCTTCCGCGGTGGCGGGGGCTCGCAGTATCCGCACTCGTAGACTTTATCTCATGGACGGCGTGTCCACACAGCCGGCCTGCACCAGCATTGCAGTCGCCTCCTCGTCCTCCTCCTCCTCCTCCTCCTCCTCCTCCTCCTCCTCCTCCTCCTCCACCTCCTCCTCGTCCTCCCCGTAGCTCCTCGGGCCCCTTCCCGCCGCCGCCTCCTCCTCCTTCTCCTCTTCTCCTCCTCCTCCTCCGCCTCCTCCTCCTCCTCCTCCTCCTCCTCCTCCTCCTCCTCCCTCCTCCTCCTCCTCCTCCTCCTCCTCCTCCCCCTCCTCCTCCTCCTCCTCCTCCTCCTCCTTCCTCCTCCTCCTCCTCCCCTCCTCCTCCTCCTCCTCTCGGCTCCTCGGCCCCTTCCCGCTGGCGGCCTCCTCCTCCTCCTCCTCCTCTTCCTCCTCCTCCTCCTCCTCCTCCGCGACGCTCGCCGCTGGGCGCGCCGCTCACCTATGCCTCCCTCTTCGGGCGCGTCTCATCCTCGACCTCGCCCGACGGGGGAAGCTCCTCCAGCGGAGGCTCCCAAGTCGCGCTGGCCGCTGGCCGGCCGGCGGAGGCTGCGGGCCGCCCGAGGGCGGCGTTGCCCCGACCGACCTGCGGTCCTTCCCTCGTGCCGCCGCCTTTTGTGGTCCGCCTGCGGGCCTCTCTGGCCGTGGGGGGGGGCCTCTTGGCCAGTCGACCTCCTGGCCCTGCTCCGCCGTCGCTTCCTCCCTCCTCCTCGTTCCTCCTCTTCCTCCTCCTCCTCCTCCTCCTCCTCCCTCCTCCTCCTCCTCCTCCTCCTCCTCCTCCTCCTCCTCCTCCTCCTCCTCCTCCGTCTGGCTCGGGCGGTGAAGCGGCCACGCCTGCATTGGAGAGAGGCGAGGCGAGCTGCTCGCACGGAGTCCTCCCCCCAGCTCCTCGCACAGCGCCTCGCTAAGGCGGGGTCGCGGCCGTGCTGGTTCTGCGGACGGCTCGCGGCGCTGTTGCCTTCGCGTTCCCCCCATGGCTTGGCCCGATCTCGCGGCAGGCGCTGCAGGGCCCGCCATCCTCGAGGCGCAGGTGCCCAGCAGGAGGCGCACACTGAGCGTCGGCAGGGCCCGCCGTCCTCAAGCCGCAGGCGCCCAGCAGGAGGCGCACACTGAGCGTCGGCAGGGCCCGCCGTCCTCAAGCCGCAGGCGCCCAGCAGGAGGCGCACACTGAGCGTCGGCAGGGCCCGCCGTCCTCAAGCCGCAGGCGCCCAGCAGGAGGCGCACACTGAGCGTCGGCAGGGCCCGCCGTCCTCAAGCCGCAGGCGCCCAGCAGGAGGCGCGCACAAAGCCGAGCCCCTCGCCCGTCCCCTCTTGAGCCGAGATGGCTTGAGAGACAGGGGGAGGGAGGGGGGAAGAGGAGGGCACGGAGAACGAGCAGCAGGTTGCAGGGAGGCATGCAAGGGGGGGCACGCGCGAGCAGGGCAGCCATGAGGAGGAGGGAAGAGGGAGGGAGGGAGGTTCGATAAGAGGCGGAGGGGTGGAAGCTGAGGAGGGGCGAGATGGGGAGGGTAGGGTGGATGAGGCAGCGGAGCTTCGGGGGGGGGGGACGACCTCGATGATGGGAAGGAAGGTGCCCCCCCCTTTGCTCATGAAGCGTCCCAGGGAGCCCGGCGATGTACGACGTCGCTCGGGAGCGCGAAGGCGGATCCTACAGACAAGGTCGTAGACATCCTCATTTCGGACAGCCAGGCTGGCGGGCGACGTGTCCCCCTGCAGTCCGGGGTGTTGTCTTGAGTCGGGCACGTCCCTCCACAGGAGGAAGATTCACGAATGGTCCAAAAATAGTCGGGGGACGATGGTTTATGGATCTGTTTGGCAAGGTTTGAGCATTGTTTGTTTGTTTTCGTCCGGAATCCGCCTGTAGGGGCACGCGCCCGACCTGAGGGTTGTCCCACGGCTGATGCTGGCCCTCGCGTCGTGTCACTGGCCACCCCCTTTCCTCGGCAGCGAGCGAGCGAGACGGAGAAGACCCTCTCAGAAGGCGGTTTGGCTTCTCAGGAGGTGGTTGGGCGTCGCTGTCCTGTGGCCCCTTGGGCGACTCTCGAGATTTTCTTCGGAGTTCCCGGGCGCTTATCGACGAGGCCACGTTGAGCCATGGCGGCGGCTATAAGGTGGCATTCATGGGCTGTCTGGAGAGCCTTGGGAGATGCCCCGAAAATCGCCGGGCCGCCCGAGAAGCCCCGAGAGAGTGCACGCAGCACCGTCCGAGGAGAGGGGAGGGGCATCACTGGAGGCTCGCAGAGAAGCCCGACCCGGCAGCACTTGGCAGTCTGCCACGCCCGAGCGCGGCACGGGGCACGGAGGCAGTCCTGTGTGGTCCAGAACCCGGACAGCAGGGCGCCCGAAGGGCGTGGAAAGGCCTAGCGAAGAATTCTCGAAGGACCTGGAAGAGGAGGAGGAGGAGGAGGAGGCGGAGGAGGAGGAGGAGGCGGAGGGGGAGGAGGAGGAGGAGGAGGACCCCCTCCTCCTCCAACTTCTGCTGGTGGTGGTGGTGGTGGTGGTGGTGGTGGTGGTGGAGAACAGGCCCATCACTTGACCAATCGAGACAGCCCAGCGGCAGAGAAAGGCGGCCGAGGGGGCTGGGAGGGACGGAGGGGCGGAGGAGGAGGAGGAGAAGGAGGAGGAGGAGGAGGAGGAGGGGAGAGAGCTGCCGAAGGACCACCTGGAGAGCTTCCGAGCACGCGCATGGGGAAGTGCCCAGGAAAGGTCTGCAGGAACCCGCCGCCGGCTCGCACGGCCTGCGCCGACGCTGGAAAGCGGAAGCTGGAACGACCTCCGGGGTTGCCCTGCGGCTCCGGCTCTTCAATCTGACACCCTCTTGCATAGCTCTCTGCTCGCAGGCCTAGAGATTGACACCAACACCAATATCGGCGAAGTGCATCCACCGAGGGAGGAAGATCCCGATCTCGGTGATGGTGGTAATATTCTGGCTTCCAAGGTGGACGAAATATTGCCACCAACACCGAAATCGAGGATCGTCTTCCCCCTGTGGAGGCAACCCCTTGTGTTGGTGTTGGTGCCCATTTCTAGGCCTCCAATCTGCGAGCTATCGGGGAATCTGAAGGGCAGCCGCAAGCGTCTCAGATGGCGCGCCCCCGATGGGCCAGGCGGTGGAAGCGGTCGTCGCCGGCAGTCGAAGGGCCGAGGGTGCCGCCAGCAGACGGGCGAGCGAGGCACGCGTTTGTGCCAGCGGCGCGCGAGCCGCGAGTGTTGAGGACGGAGCGGCTGCGGGAGGGTGGGGAGGTCGAAGAAAAAAAAAACGATACAAACATGAACTTTTGGCGCTCCGCGCGGAGTTCATGGATCCGCGCTGGGCCCCCCCGGCGGCGCCTCTGGCGCCGCCCCTGGCGCACTCCGTGCGCCAGGGAGGGGGGTCCGGCGCAGATCCAAGAATTTTGCGCGGAGCGCCAAAAGTTTACGTTCATGGCGTTTTGTCTTCTTCGACCAGAGGACGAGCGGAAGGAGGAGGAGGAGTTGCCAGGGACGGGCCTCAGACTGCGCCATGCTCAGCCGCTCTCTGCTCTTGTTGATCTCGGCCGGAGGGCGAGGGCTCGGATGCTGATTCATGTGTTTGCACGCGTCATCATCCCCTTCGGCACCCGTGCTTGTTGCATGAGACATTGATGCATTGCCCACTGCTTGCTCGCTGAGGAAGAGGAGTAAGGAATGGAGCGGCTGAGGGAGGAGAAGAGGGGGAGGTGCGGACTGGCGATCCCACAGTGTTTTGGTTGTTTGCCGCTGTGTTTTCCTTCCGATGAGCACGAGTTCGTTTGCACGTCTCCCGTTTCTCGGCTGCTTGGGGCTTCTCGCTTTCTTCGCCCTATATCGAGGGGGCGAGGAGGACCAGGACCTGGGACCTGGGATTGAGCTCTGGTGCTGGCTTTGTTCGACACTTCCAAAGGACCAAAGAACTAGCTCTGAGGTGGTTGGTGTGCGCTACTCGGGCGCCCGGCGAGTGGCACGTGTGGCTGGGAGGAGGGAGGGGGTGTGCTGTCGTGCGCGGCCCCTGTCCGAGACAGTCTTTTACGGCCCCGTTGGCGTACCGAAGTTGGGCGACGCGCAACCACACGTTCGCGCACACACGCACACACACACACACACACACACACACACGCACACACACACACACATAAATATATATATATATATATATACAGATGCGCAATGTCAACGCCTCGCGTCGCGTACTCTGACTGCACGTCGCTCTCTCGTCCACCAGTGCCAGCACAAGTCTCGGGCAGCTGCCGCCACAGCCTCGTGCGAGAGTGCCTCGGAACAGCGATGATAGCCGCGAACGGTGCTGCGGTGACTCTCGCAGCGCGATCAAGTAGCGAACTTGGCAAACCGTCAGAAGGACCATGTACCACATCTACGGATCTACGGCAGGAGTTATCCGCGAGTAGCTTGCATTCGGCGGCCTCGTGTGTAGAGCACGAGTTGATCGCATAGTGCGCCCCTTCGCAGCGGGAATGCCACCAGAGTTAACGATCAGTGGAATAACGATCCCAGGTAGTAATCAGACATAGTCTTCCTTTCTAAGGCAGGCGTCGATGGTTGGGACATGGCATGGGGCAGGCCCTGATGGGCGTGACTTTCAAGAACTTGGGAAAGGGAATCACCTCGCAGCTGACGATCACCGGCTGGTCTACCGAGCCCGCAGACGAGCGGATCACGGCCGCCCCGCCCCGTCCTCTTTGACAGACCAGCGTTGGTTCAAATGTTGCACACGGTGAAGAGATGGCTCGTCCATAGAAGGAGATCAAACATATGGCAAGTGTCAAAGTTGGCATGATGGTTCCCGACCTTAGCTTCATGTACGTCTAAAGATCACTGACGTGGCTCTTTCGGCTGTAGGCCCTCACTTCTGTACCTCAAGTTGGACTCAATTGCGTGGGACGACTCGCTTACAAGGATAATGTTTAGTCAGTTGCTTCGTTCCAGTCGCATTGGCCTCGCCCCTTACTCCTGAGCCTGCCGTGGGTGCGCTCCTGGGCTGCACTTGCCCCTTCTGTGACTGGCTTCCCTTGTCTCGGGGATGGACAGAACCCCCAACAGTGACACGTCGATTAGTGAATTGTCCGTTTTCGGTTCTCGAGAGGGCGCCGTGGCCGTTATTTTCCAGGCTTGCGCCCGCCAGGTTTGGGCCCGAGGTCGTTTTCACTAAACCACGTTTTACTAAAGGGGGGTTTGTCCATCCCCGATTGTCACATTGCAGGTGCATGCGCGTGCGCATGCACACGCGATCAGATGCAGGGTCGTGCGTCAGAAGCCGGGCGACGGCTGGCAAACCCGTGGCTGCTAAAACGGAGTTCTGGGAAATTGCTGTCTTCCGGGAAGCAGCCCGTTTATCATTTAGTGCCTTGAATTTGTCGGGAGCGGAAAAGAGGGGGGTGATGACTAGGGGGGGGTGGATTTCATGGCGCGGGCCATGATTTTTCCTCAGATTTCGTGGCGCCTCTTCTTATTTCATTACGTCCCTGACCCCCCCGCTGGGCCGCGCACATGCCGACGGTCATGATTTGCAACCCCCCTCTTGGACACCCCCCTCTTGGCCGCTCCCGAATTTGATTCCAGGGAATTGTTTTTCCTTCCGGGGAGACCGTGTTAGCGGCCACGGATTTGCCGGCCTTCGTCCAGCTTCCAAGTGCGGCCGCATGACATAGCACTTCCGCAGCATGAGCCTGTGACATGTGTACGACAACGCTGCACGCTGTTCTAGGTCACTGCCAGGGGCGCGAAGATAGCCTCGAGGGAGCGAGGGCGCGAAAATCATCGCGCCCTCGCGGGGCGCGATGCGCGAAGACGGGTGGCTGAGGCACTTAACGCTCGAGTGTGTGTTGCGTTTGTGGTGCAGTGGGGGGCCATGCCAAGAAACATCCTGCTGGGCTCCAGAGTGCCCTGGGTTTACTGGTTTCGATGGTTTTGCCATGGAAAGCGTGACTCCCCCACGCCAGAAATCAGTAGACGGCCTGGGCTTCCAGGGTTGGGTTTCTTGCGGAAGGTTTCGTGTGGTCGAGCCTCTACTGTAATGTCTGCTGCGGTTGCGAAATGTCGAGGTATGAGTACGGTGTGCGTTGCACGCATGTCTGCTGCGGTTGCGAAATGTCGAGGTATGAGTACCGTGTGCGTGTTGCACGAATGTGTACGCAAACGTGCTCGAATGGTCGCAGTCGCGTTGGCGCGCGTATCGGGCACCGCGTGTGGGGATGTTGTGATGCAGGGCCATAGCGTGGTACTGCGGTGAGGTTGCGCGGATTTCTTCCGATGCATTGTGCATCGTCTGCGCCTTGGGACCGTCTGGTGGAGGATTGGGGGTCATTAGGGGTGGTCTTGTGGACGTCTTCCGGGGGGAACCTTAGGCTACCCCACGGGGTGCCTCAGTAGATTCCTTTGTATGCAGATTTCGTCGGGTTCGTAGGCTAAGCCTTTTCAGGGAGCAACCCCATCTGCAGTGACGCTGTTCTTCACGCTGAGACTGGGGAAGTTCCCCAACCAGTGCTTGCAATGAAGTGGTCCTAGCGGAAATTGAAAGGTTTGGCGAAAGTGTCCCGCCGATTTTGGTGGCCGGCTGGGTTCCCGAATTCAGGGTTCCCGGATTCCTGATTATTGGTTCCGGGCCGATTTCGGTGTGTTCCTGGTTCCAGGGTTCCCGGTCGATCTCCTTATCGATCAAACCATCCATTGATTGGGGGTTGTCTCTAGTGTAATTGCATTTTTTGTCGGCTCGCTCTCAGACCTGGCCCCCGTGAGCCAGAAAGAAAGCACTGGGGCGGTCATGGGGCAGTCTTCGGCCGATCTTGAGGCGTCTCGATTTGGTCTTGGGCCAGTCTCCGGGGGCCGCCTTGGGAGCCCCTGGGGCCCTCTCTTGGGTGGGGGGGCGCGGGCCCTCCCCTGCGCCGCACGGGCGACGTCCGGGGCGGCCGACGTGCCTCCAGAGCTCGGAGCGGAGGCCAGCCCTGGCTTCCCCCGCGTGGCAAACGGAGAAGCAAGAGCTCGGCGGCGAGCGAGGGGAGCGAGGGGAGGGGAGGGGAGCGAGGGGAGCAGGAGGGAGCGAGGGAGAGGGGAGCGAGGGGAGGGGAGCGAGGGGAGCGAGGAGGAGGAGGGGAGCGACTGGAGGGGAGCGAGGGGAGGGGAGGAGGAGGAGACGAGCTCCCCGGGGAGGGGAGCGAGGAGGAGGAGGCCCTCGCAGAAGGCTCGGAGGTCCCGCGGCCTCCGGAGAAGTTTTTTGCTCTACGCTCTCCCCGAGGACACAGGACAACTTCTCGGGAGGCGCCGGGGGCTTCCGAGAAGTGCCGCCGCCTTCTGAGAAGGCCCGCTCCTTCTCACTGCCCCCCCTCGCTCGCCGCCGGAAAGCGGCACGCACAGAAAGGTTCGAGGGCCTCTGGACGTGCGGACTCAGTTCCAGTTCTCTTCCTCCCTCGATCGTCCCTCCTGCTGGAGGGGGAAAAACATACAGACACAATTACTCGTCGATCCCCAGGAAAATATTGGAAAATATGGGAAGTGGGGGGGAAGACGACAATCCAGAAAATATTCAAAAAAACATGAATCCTTGGATTTGTGTGTCTTTATTTGTGTGTCCCTGGGCCCCTTCACTCCTGTCCTTCTGCGTCGCCCTCTTCTCTTCCTTTCGGGCCAGTTCCTGCACGGTGGAGGCCCCGTCCCATCGGTCAGGAGATTGGCGGCGCTCATCCTCCGAGCGGAACATCGTTGCCTTTCCTCGCCATCTGTCTCCGCATGGGGGGAAACGAGGAGAGAACATAAAACTTTGGAGCTCCGCTCGCAGTTCTTTGATCGGCGCCGAGCCCCCATGGCGGTGCCTCCGCGCGCCTGGGAGGGTGGTCCAGCGCCGATCCAAGAAATCCGCGCGGACCTCCAAGAAAGTATGTGTTTGCTGACGTTTGCTTTTCCTAGTCAAGACAATCACTTTTAAAACCCGTTGCGTCTTTTTTCCCAGCTATCCTGTGGCGCTGGGTCCTCGTTCTGGGTCCGCAGCGCCCCGTGTCTACCCCCACCTTCCTTCTCCCCTTCCTTGCCTCTGCTCTCCGCAAGTCGCGTTCGATACACGCCCAGGCACGCGCACACACGCACACACACAGACACACACACACACACACACACACACACACACACACACACACACACGCATTCGCACACGCACACGCACACGCACACGCACACGCACACACACACACACACACTTACACACACACATACACTCACGCACGCGCGCGCGCACGCACGCACGCGCACGCGCACGCGCACGCGCGCGCGCGCACGAGCGCGCGCACACACGCACGCACACACGCACGCACGCACGCACGCACGCACGCATGCACGCACGCACACGCACGCACGCACGCGCGCACGCATGACCGTACACACACACACACACACTTGTTTTGGCGGTCGCGGCCTCGCGCGGGGTGACGAGGCGGAAGACGTCGAAGCGGTGGGAGCGGACGCGCGCGGCGGCTCTTCAGTCGGCATTGTTGTGGTTCGCCGCACACGCACGCACGCACGCACGTACGTACGTGCACACACACACACACATTCACACTTGTTTTGGCGGTCGCGGCCTCGCGCGGGGCGACGAGGTGGATTGAGTCGAATTGGTGGAAGCGGACGCGCGCGGCGGCGGCCCTTCAGACGGGATCGCTGTGGTTCGCCGCACACGCAGTCACACAAACACAGACAAACACGCACGCACACACACACACATACAATCACACACCTCACAAGTTTCGTGGCCTCACAGGGAGTTGCTCCGAAGGCCCCAGTGCGGAATCCTCGCAGGCGTGTCCGCGCCCATTTCGGCACCCTTCTCACGATTCGTGGCCCCATGGGAGTTCCACGGAAGGCCCCAGTGCGAAAGTTCGCATGCATCCCCGCCGCTCCTTCCGGTACACCCTTCACACGCTTCGTGGCCCCACATCCTATGGGGAGCCCCCTCCAAAGCCGAAGCGGGCACGTTCGCACGGCGTCCCCCCGCCCATCTCTGCACACCCCTCACACGTTTCGTGGCCCCATGGGGAGCTCGACCGAAGGCCAGTAAGAAAGTCCGCATGCGTCTAGCACACACACACACACACACACACGCACACACGCACACACACACACACACCTCAGACGCTGCGTGGCCCCATGGGGAGCCCCACCCAAGGTTCAACCGAGCAGCTTCGCGTGCGTCCCCGCCTCCTATGCCTATGCCGGCACACCAAGCACACGCTTCGTGGCAGCATAGGGAGATCCACCGAAGGCCCCAGTGGGAAAGTCCTCACGCACCCTTGGCGCCCATGCCAGCACATCTTTCACACGCTTCGTAGCCTACTCGGGAGCTCCACCGCAAGCCACAGGTGGGAAGTCCGCACCTTCCCCCGCCGCTCGTTTTGGCACCCCACACACGTCTCGTGGCCCCATGGGGAGCTTCACGGAAGGCCTCAGCGGCGCACCCCTCACACGATTCGTGGTCCCACGTCCAATGGGGAGCCCCATCCAAAACCCAAGCGGGCATGTTCGCACGGCGTCCCCAAACTCAACTCTGCACAGCCCTCACACGCTTCGCGCTTCGTGGCCCCATGAGGAGCTCCCTCGAAGGCCAGTGAGAAAGTCCGCATGCGTCCCCGCCGTCAGCTCCTGCACACACCTCACACGCTCGTGGCCCCAGAAGGATTCCCGCGCAAGACCCCGGTGGGAAAGTCCGCATGCGCCCCCACCGCTCATGCCAGCACACCCTTCACAAGTGTCGTGGCCCCATGGGGAGCTTCACCGAACGCCCCAGTGTCGAAGTCTGCATACGCCCCGCCGCCCAGTTCTGCACCCTCCTCGCGCGCGAAGGCCCAGGTGAAAGATTCGCACGCGGCCCCGCGCTCCATTTTGCACACGTCCCAGACGTTTCGTGGGCGCACGGGAAGCTCCGCCGAAGGCCCAAGTGGCACATGGCGCACGGCGGCGTGGCGTCCCCCAGCACGTATCGGCACGGTCCTCGCGCGCTCGGGGACACACGGGGAGCTCCGCCGAGTGCCCCGAGTGGAGCAGGGAGCGCAGCGCT